TTAATTAATTAATAACTTAAATTGCTCCTCATCCAGTAATAAAATAAATCATACGTAAAAAATGAATAATATAAAAACAGAAAGAATACAAAGCTCTAAGTAGCATTTAAAAGTTAATCAAAAGCAAGATTTTCTTGGCTAAGGTGGTTTATAATCTCTAACTCATAATTAATTCTTTAGTCCTTAGGCTTCAGCTTAATCTATTTAGAGAAGAAAGAGTGGATTTGAAGGTTAGAATGGTAGCTAAATTCTAAACAATAAATTAATATCTGAAAACAGTAAAATAGGAAGTTATGTAAACTCATACAGGCAGTTTGATATGAATGATATCAAATAAAATCCAGCCAATTACGCATTAAGAAATTTTTAACCAACATTGAAACCAATCCCTAATTTAAATTTCTCCCCTTAGAAAAAAGGATATTCTAACAAAAACTCTTCAAAAGATGAAATTCATACAAATGGATAGGAATTTTAAGACCATGGAATTATTTAGGCATAGCATCACTCATAAAAGAATTTGCATAGCACAAATATGCTGATGAAGTTGACTCAATCACCGTTAGATAATTCAAAAGCTCAAAGTTAGAAAATGTTAACTGAATCCAATTAAAATACTAATCGCTTAAATTAGAGCAACTTTGGTTCTTCAGAAACTGAGCCACCAAAACACACAAGAATACATACTACAAACATAGTGAGCGCTTCATAAAAGAATTACTTTTACTCACCTGTAAAATATGAGAGGAAGATAAACTCGTCAAAAGGTGAGAAGACAGCTAATAATATAGGTTTAGGTGCAAGAAGTGTGTCTAATTTATAACATTACAAAAGAAAGTTATATCCCAATAATATAAATTCACTGAACAACATAAACGATTTTGAAGATACTTAGATTTTTTAGGATTTTTAAAAGCCTTAAGCACCTACTTAAGGTAATGAGATAGTTAGTCAAAATATTTAGAATACGGAATCTAGTTAGCAATAAATTAATACTCTATAAAGCATCCCAGCAGTAAAAAAGGATACTTCAGCAAAATAGTTTACAGTTAAAACAAAGAGCGCATCCCAATTATAAACTCTTTCAGGTTTTTAAAAGCTTTTGAAAGTAAAGAAAGCACTTGCTTTAGGCTCAAAAGTAACTAAATTTTTGGAAATCGTAAAACAACAATCTCTTCAGCGTCATAGTGAAGCTAGTGAATAGTATTCAAAAGAATGTATTTAAATTTTAAAAGGAATGCTTGAAGAGAAAGAATAAGAAGCAGATTAATTAGAATAAGTTGAGTTGGAAGAAAATGAAAAAGATTAATTTACAGATTTAGATTTATAAAAGGGAATTAAAAAAAAAACAGAGAAGTTGACTAAAAAAGTTTTACGAACAATCTAAGATGCTATAATTGAACCAATTTCATAAAAAACATACAGAGCGTTATACTATGAGAAATGCAAAGAAGTAGATAGAATCAAATTCACATATAAAGATATGGAGAAGGAAGTTGAAGTTTTAAGAAAAAGTTAAAAAGTATTTGACGATATAGCAGCTAACTATTTCCGTAAGACAGAGGTTATTGAGAAAGAAAAGTAAAAGTTATCAGAAGAGAAGAAATTAGCCTTGCTAGAAGTAGAAAGACTTGAAAAGAAGCTAGATGAATCTAATAATTATTACAATTTTTGGTAAGGAGAGTATCATTAAGTGAATAAAAAATACAATGAAGAAGTATATGCCCTAAATTAGTACTAAGAAAAAATGAAAAAAGAAAAAACAGAAAAAACATTCTTAGAGAATTAACTTTCATCTCTTCAAAAATAAATTGAAACAAGGAATTCAGAGCTTGAAAAAATAAAGACAACTTAGGTGCAGCTAAAATGGATGAAAGGTTCTATATCCACATATCAATAGGACTTGCTAAACAAAAACATTTAGATTAATTTGTGTAAGGATCTGGTTGTAAGTAAAGCTGAAGCTTTGCAATTGATTTCAAAAGAAGAGCTAGATAAAGATTAACCTTTAATAGATTTAATCAAATCTGTATTCCACTCAATAGCTGTTAAATTGAGCTGATAATATGTATGTATTAAATATTATTAAAATTTTATAAATAATAATCATCCAAGTTTTGTGTTCCTTAGTTTAATTAATTAATTAATTAATTAATTCAGTCAATATTAAAAATATAGAATTTATTAAAAAGTTAAAATCTAAATTTAATTTCTTTGTAAGTAAAGCTGAAGCTTTGCAATTGATTTCAAAAGAAGAGCTAGATAAAGATTAACCTTTAATAGATTTAATCAAATCTGTATTCCACTCAATAGCTGTTAAATTGATCTGATAATATGTATTTATTAAATATTATTAAAATTTTATAAATAATAATCATCCAAGTTTTGTGTTCCTTAGTTTAATTAATTAATTAATTCAGTCAATATTAAAAATATAGAATATATTAAAAAGTTAAAATCTAAATTTAATTTCTTTTATATTTTATTCAAAATCAAAAATCAAATTTATTTTGTCTTAAAATTTTATATTTAAAAATAGCGATTATGTAAGTAACTTGACCCAAAATTAAAATTAAAATCTAATAATATATTTTTGCAAAAAATTACAAATTAAGTTCTATGTCTACATCTTAAAAATTTAGCTTCACTTTTAATTGAGAAAACATACATGCATACTTAAATAATTATTTATTGATTCAATATTTTGAAAATATTATTGGTATTTATTTATTAATATTAAATAATTATAGATTTAAAATAGATAATTTTTTTAAAATCTTAACTAGTTAAAGCAGTATATTATTAAATTACTAACTAACTATTCTACTGACTAAGTAATAAATTGCTAACTAGTTAACTAAATAAATTAACAAGTTTTTAACTATTTATATTATTAAATATAGATTGTTTTTTTTAGAACTAAAATTTTACCAAATTCATTGACTGAAAAAATTGTAAGGAAATAAAAAATTTTTCATAAAATTATTATTATTTGAATTTATTTTAAATTAAATCAAGTTAATGTTATCAAAAACATTTATCTAAATAATTGTTAATTAATGAGATACTTAAATAATATTAGCAAATTTTACAAAATAAAGATATTAAAATTTATAAATAAATTTCATGTTTTTTATTGATAATCACTAATTTCAAATATATGAAAGCTATTTTCTTCAAGAATAAAAGATTCATTTTGTTTAGTTAACTAGCTTTAAATTAAAATTTTAAGAATCTTTTATTATATCTTTTTGTTATGCCAAAATAGTCTGATTAAAAATATTAACCAATTAATTTATTATAATTAAAAAAATCAAAGATATTAATTATTTCTAGAAAAAATATTTCAAAATTATAATTTTAAAATGGAAAAAGGATCTAAGTTTTTGATATTAGGCTCAATAGGATTAGGCATTTTAGGAGGACTTTATATGCTTTTTGGTAAAAATAAAGTCCGTGTAAAACTTTCAAGAGATTAAGTGGTTTTGTTCTTAAAAGATTTAAAGTCATAATCTTAAAGCTAGTTCATAACTACTGCCAAAGTTATTTAAAGAATGATAAGTGAAACTGGGGGTTAGTATAAAAATGAAGTAGAAAACACAGCAGCAGGATATATTAGAAGTGAAGTTTAAGAAATTTTTGATCAAAAAAAGGAAGCAATCTTAATCAAGTATCAAATTGATGAGCAAGATTTAGCTTAAGCCTTAGAATCTGATTTCAAAAATGATGATGAAATAAACAAAATATTAAATGAAATTCATGAAGGTTTCGAAAATAGTTTAAAAGGCATCGAACCTCCAATGAATGTAAAACCAGAAGTGTTTGAAATTCTAACAAAAGACAAAACTTATGACATTGTAAAAAAAATAATGAAATTATCAACTAAGTTATACTTGAAAGTATTCACTGACTTAAAGAAAGAAGGAGAAAAACAAATCAATCTAAAAAACCCTAAATTTTTAAGAAAAATAGGCTAGTTAAATATGAGAGATAGAAAGAATAAATTAATTTTAGATGAAGGAGTTAATCTTGAGCCTGATTCCCCTACTGATATCTTAGGAAAAGTAACCTAAAAATACAAAGACTAAGATATAGAATTTGCTGAAAAACTTATTGAAGTAGATAGATAGTTTACTTATGTAATTGAAAAGCTAGGAGACGAAATTACAACTGAAGAATAAATTGATAAGGCTTTCTAATGAAATCTTTTTTGAATAAAAAAATTTGATATAGCATTTTAATAAAACCATTAAATTTTAAAACGTTTATTCTTTATTTTTTATGTTATCAAATTACCAAACAACTCTATTGTTAATATTTAGTCATTAATCTTTACAAAAAAATAATAATCAAATAGAAAATATTCAATACATAAAAAATATTAATCTTTTTTTTTAAGTTTTATTGTAAAACTTTTAAATTATTTTATTGATAAAATTATTTCAATATTTAAAAAAAAATAAAAAATATTTTACTTTTTAAATAAAATTTCTGCTGATAAGTTTTAATTATTAAACAGTATATTTTTTATCATTTATTTATAGAAATTTAAAGAATAAAAAACAATTACATAGCAAATATTTATATGTATTTTTTTATATAAAATATATTACAATATTTTTATAATCAGTATTTTCAAGTCAAATTTTACAATTAATTTTGATTTTTAAATACTAAAATAAACTAGAATATGTTTTGATGAAAAATAAAAATAAGTAACCCAAAGTATAATATTTAAACCTTTAAATTAAATAATGGATTGTAATTATTAGTTCAAAAAGAATCAGATCGCTTGTGTTTGGTCTGACTTTTAATACATATTTAGTAGCTTAGGTAAATATCTTTATTTTAAAAAAAGACATAAAATATGCTTGTATGCTAATTAGCAAGCAGTCAAGCATGTTTGTATGGATGAATGGATAAATAATTTAGTACATAAGTTTTTATATAAATATTTTAATTTAAATTTAAAATGATTTAGTTATTTTATGATTTATTGATTTATGAGTTTTTTATTTATTTATTTGTTGATTGATTGATTGGTTTGTTGGTTGGTTGATATTTATTGAAGGCTGACTGACTACAAGCCAGTTAGGTAAATTGGAAAAACTAACAGTTTGAGATAAGGAAGTTTGTTAAAAACATGAATCACCATTCAAGGTCTCCACTGAGACCAGCAAGAATGTAATCTTTTCCATCGGCTGAAAGTATCATTTTTTCGAAAGATATTTTAAACTTTTTAGCTGTTTTCTTTTTCATAACGCTGTAGTATCCACAGATATAGCAATCTGTTTTATGCTCATCCTACTGAAGCAAGAAAAGTTCGTTTTTATTTTCTTTTTTTCTTTTGTCTTCTTATTCGTCGATTTAGTCATCGTCACTGTCTTCATCTTCTTAGTTGTTGGCTCTCTTTTTTAGTGTATTTTTTTGTTTTAAATTTGATTTTTTTTTAGATTGAAAGTGATTGATTGTGTGTGTTTGGTGCTTTACTTTTGAGTAATTTCGATTTTAAAGCAAGCAAGAAAATAAATTAATTGTATTTAAATAAATAGAAAATAAATGTAGAATATAAATAAATATAAGTACAATAGCAATGTTGAAATCTATTTCTTGATCTTCTTATTTGATATTTCTGTGACTATGCTATCTATGAAAATCTTCTGCTTCTATACTTGCCTCTGGTTTTTAGTTATGATGGGTTATCTAGGCATTTTCATGTTGTAAACGGTGATTGTCGAATTCATCTTGATTGTCAGATGCACCAAAATTAGGGCTTATTTCTTCTAGTTTTGTGCTTGCTGTATATGGAGGCTCTATTAAGTTAATGGTAATAAATTTTAGTTTAATTAAACATAAAAGAATTAAAAAATATTTATTAGTGAATCGTACAATAATTCGAGTTGTCTTCTGTTTTTATTTTTTTAATGGTGTTGCCTTGGATATCAGGGTTAGGGTGATTGTGGACTATTTTCTATTAAAAGACGTTATGCAAAAGTTCTTAAGTTTTTTCATCAGACAGTTCGTTCTTTCCACTACTAGGTTAGAGCACACTACCGCTCTATTTGGATTAATTTGAAGTGGATCCTTCTTTCTTCTGAGTTCCCTCATTCTGTGTTTTAGAAATATTGTAAATTAAGGCCTAAAAAGGCTGCAAAATCATTTGCATTAATAAAGTGTTTGTTTTTCATATGAATTGATAAATTTGACTAAGAAGCTTACGGCTTAGTTATTTGGTTATTCTGCGGCTATATAAACTTTACGCTCTTCTATTTTTCTTTTCCATACCTTGAAGTAATTTTTAAAAAATGGATGTTAAATTTAAGAAAAACTTTTGCAATCTGAATGAATTTATTTATTTTTTATAAACAAATCAATTATAAAATTTTTGGTGAAAAAATAATTTACTGATTTTAACTAATCAATAATTTCTTCAGCCAATCCTTCATTTTCTTCGTGGTCATCGAGCAGCTTTTAGCATACTCTGTTAATAACTTCTTCGTAAATCTTCTTAGTAAGACCAAGAATATCTTTAGGATTATTATTACTGCTCATTTTTCTAAATTAATATACGTATTAAATTTCCTTTTGTTTCAATAAATTAACAATCTTAGTAATTTGAAATTAATTATCTGATTTTTTTGGAAAAACAACACGTTGGCTTTTAAAGAGCCCTGTCACTTCCATCGAATTTATCAGATCCAGTATTTATATCTTAGTAAAATTTATTTTATTTACAGTTAATAAACAAATTAAAGTAAAATAATAAAAGGATTTATTCTAAAAATAATTCAATTGTTAAAATCAATTCTTCATGTTATTATATAATTAGTATGTGTCTAACTAACTAAATAACTAAATAAAAAGATAGTTAGTTAGTTAGTTATCAAATTTGTATTCTATAAAAGATATTCTAAGTTAATCAATAATTATTTTATTTTTTATTTTTTTTCAAATATAATTTGATCTTTTTTTATGATAAATTATTATTTATGTGAATTAGGATTTTTTTTTTTTGAAAATAAATTTTATTTAAAAAAATGGCTATGATGCTGTTTATGAATAACTTTATGATTGATTTATTTCTGATTATGATTAACTTTTTTAATTATTTATTAAATATTATTTGAAATTATATTATATGCTCAAATATAGAAAGAAACAAAAGATTTTATTTGATCGCTTTGTTTGATTTATTTTCCTTAGACATGAATTAAAAATGAATGATAAACTTTATTTAGAAGAATTAATTTTTGTTTAAATAAGATAAGAAGATTTTTAATTCAGAAAAGAGAGTAGGTTGCTAGATAACTAACTAAATAGATTGAGAGATATATAGATGGCTCTTAATTTGATTTGTTAGCAATTCTGAATAATTCTAAAGAAATGTGAAATGAATAGAAAAAAGCAAGCTTGAGAATCAAATAAAAGTCAAAGATTTTGGTTTGATTATTTATTTAATAGATTTTGCAAAAAAAAAAAAAAAAAAATTAGAGTGACTATGAAATAATTAATTAATAGGATTTGTCTTTGAAAGTTAATTAGAAAGTAAAAGATCTAATATCTTCAAACAGAAGCAATAAAAAAAAAAATATATATATATAAAGACTGACTATCTATCCCATTCTCCCATATAATATCAAAAATATCGATCAGAAAGAATAAAGCTTATAAAATAAAAGGAAAAAGATACATATACACACACACTTAAAAAAAGCATAGAAAAAACAGCAAAAATGAATTTAAACGAATTGATTAAGTTGTCTTCTGAACAAAGCTATGATACCTTAGTTAAGAAATTAGAAAGTTAAGATTCGACATTCAAGAAGCAAGCAGTTTAAATTTTTACTGCCATTTAGAATTAAGATATGGAAACTCATCAACTTATATTCTTATACTGTCTTTAGTACATGGATATTAAAACTACTTTCAATATTTTTGATAGATTCTTGAAATCTTTGACAAATGGAAAGCAAATCTGCCACAAAATTGATAAATTGTATAAAGTTGCTGACGAATATAAGAAATTTATGATTGAAAATAACCTTGCCATTAAAGCCATTAAAGCATTTGAAGTAAGCAACATACCTATTTCAATCAATTAATTATTAATAAAAAATCAAATAAGAAGAACAAATAAAAGCTTATTTTAGTTAATGTTTTTTCATTCTCAATTACTAATATTCTCATTTATAATCTAATCAAGTTTGCTTGCAGAAGTTTAGAAAAAGAAAAAATTGGTTTGACTCGTATGCACTCAATGTTCGTCGAACTTTGCTTGAGAGCCAAGATGTATAAAAGCGCACTTAGAATTATTGACAAGCCTTTGATTCACTTAGAAGTTAGATCAAGTATAAAATATTAAACTAAAATTGAAATATGTATCAATCAATCAATCAATAATTTATTTGTTCATTTTTAATCAAATTTAGAGATCGACGAAGGTGATTTTTACAATTTCAAGTATTTTTGTGGTTGTATCTTCTTAGGTTTAAAGGTAAAATTAGACATTTATTTATTTTTTCTATAGGTTCTTTCACTTGAAATTCATAAATAATTTATAAATAGAGATATAGAGAAGCTTAAGATTGCTTTGAGCTTGTAGTTTAGCTCCACCAGAAGGATCTCTATTAAGTTACAATTGACACTTGCAAAAAGCTTTTCTTCTTAGGTATCAGAAGTGGTGAAGTAAACAAAATTATATTCATTAAATGCAACTAATTTAACCAAACAAGCAAACAAACAAATAAACCAATTGATAACTTAATTTAAACAGCTATAAGCAAAGAATACAAATAAATATTTATATTATTGAACTACAAAAGATGATCAAAAATGAATATTAATTATTTTTCATAATAGACTTCATTACATAAATCAATCAGTCAAATGGATGTTATCTCAAACAAATTGATTAATGTTGTTCTTGATGTTTACAAGTAGTCAGAAAAAAATTTAGAATCCTTTGATTAATTTGTCTTAATGAACGAAAAGGAACTTCAAAAGGAAGGAAACTTGGTAAACAAATAAACTAAAAAAAAATTTATTAACCACCTTAATTTTTAAAATAGGGTTTGGCTAGATAGCTAAGAATTTGTTTTATCATAAAAGAGCTCAGAAAATTAATGAGAGTTTATACAAGATTTAGAATAGAGTAATAAATAAATAAATAAATAAATTTACACATTTTTATGTATGAAAATAAATTTTCCAATAATTTAAAACTAGAAAACTTGATAAAGAAATTAAGGTAAACTTCAAGGATATAGCAGATTTGTAGAGTGAAATTAATAAAGTAGAAAGATTATTCAAAATCAATAGAAAGCTTAATTGCATTGAATTCAATCAAGGAGAAGATATTGACCACAGAGAATAAGTACTTATTCCTTTAAAGAACTTGTTCGAATTGGTATATTCATATTTAAGTTAAACTTTATTAATATTAATCTTTATTTCTAAAAAAAAATAGCTCAAATCTGTTAAATAAGAGTATGAGGCTGAAAATGAAAAGATGATCATAGAAAGAATCTAATAACCTGACGTTATTGTAGCATGAAATTATATCTTAAATTTTATAATTTAATTCATTTATCATAGATAAATCTATCTATATATGTTAGTTGATTAGAAATTATAATAAATTCCCAAAAAAATAATTTAATTTGCTAAATAAAAATATAATTTTAAATATTATTAAATTTATATTATTTTTTTAAATAAATAAAATAATCACACACAATATTTTTAGTTAATATTACATTTTATTTTTAAAAGAGTAATTAATTTAATAAATAAAAATGTTTAATTTGGAATTATTATTTATAAATTAAACAATAAACAAATAAATTATTTTTTCTCGTTAAATTTATTCTCTCAGATTGTAAAATATTGTTTTATTTTGGAAATTGCTATTAAAAAAACTAAGCTATGAAGAAAAAACGATTCTTAATCAATTAATTTCTAAAATATTTTTGAGTAATATTAAATTTAAAAAAAAATAAAATAATTATCTTTATTTTTAGTTAAACATTAAAAATAATTTAAAATAATTTTCTAAGTAAAAATATTAAATTTGTAATTATTATTTAGAAGTTAAACAACGAATAAATAAATAAATAAATAAATATTTTTAGCTAAACAAAAAAAATAATTTACTAAATAAAAAGGTATAATTATTTTGGACTTTATTATGAAGAAATTAAGCTATGAATAAAAAAATGATTCTTACTTACTTAATTAATTTACTCTATTAATTTTTTAATAATATTAATTTTTTTGTAATAAATAAAATAATTTAGAATAATTTCTAATTAAAAATGCTTAGTTTGGTATTATTATTTAGAAGTAAGTTAATAAATAAATAATTCTTACTTGATAAATTTATTCTCTAAGATTTTTGTAAAATGTTATGTGTTTTTAAGTTAACAAATAAATAAAAAAATAATCACCAATATTTTTAGCTAAATAAAAAAACAATTTCGAAAATAATAATTTGCAAAGTAATAAGGTATTTTTTGGACTTTATTATTAAGTTGTTATGCTCTTTATTTTATTAAACATTAATAATAATTTAGAATAATTTTTTAAGTAAAAATGTTTAATTTGGAATTATTATTTAGAAATTAATGAATAAATAAATAATTCTTACTAACTTAATTAATTTATCTTAAATATTTTGTAAATATTATTTCTTTTTCAATAAATATAAAAAATAATAATCTAGCTACATTTTTAGTAAACTTTCAATTAATTGCCAAAATAATAGCTAAATAACAAATAAATTATACTTAATGTTGATATGTTTTTAACAAATATTATTTTTTTAATAAAGATAATAAAAATAAATTAAAGAATTTTGTAAAAATTAATTTTAACTTGATATAATATGATTAAATTGAAAATAAAATAAAATTATCTTAATTTTGTTTTTAAAAAATTAATTATTAATCTTATCATTTTTCTATTTTTGAATGAATTTGTTTATTTTCATTTATTACAAGTTTGAATTTCATATAAATAAAAATAAAATACTTAGACAATTTAAAGAGTGTTTGCATAAAATAATTTATGTTTTTTAACCCAAAAATTCAAAAATATTTCATAATTTTCTTTTTTTATTATATTTTTTATTTAATTGAAATTGGTTTTTAAATTAAAATTTTTAATTAAAATAAATATCTCTAAAAAAATAGAAAAAAAATTAATTTATTTTTTCATTAAATTTTTATGAAAATGACAAATATAAATAAATAAAAAAATAAATTAATAATTTTTGAAAGTAAATTTGTAACAGAATAATTCAAAAAATATGCGAAGATGAATTAATTGTTGGTTTTAAAGAATAATTAATCATAATTTTGAAAATTATTCAACTGTTCGCATATTTTACATGCATCGGATTGCAAAGAAAGATATTAAAATTAGTAGAAAGAATATTTAAGAAGATTCTTTTTTAATTCAATACTTTAAAAACTTAACTATTGATTTAATTAGTGGGTGAGGGGGCTAAAATCAGCCTTTAATAAAAATTTAATAAGATCCTATCCAAACAAGTAATTTAATTAAAAAAAAGAATTTAAGACTTCTCCTATCTTTGTAATTAGATAAATCTAAACTTAAAATAGCAGAAAATAAATAAATCAATGATTTCCAAACAACTTTTATAACTCTCAAGATTGGGTAAAAGTCTACGTGTTAACAGCAAGAGTTACTCTTAACTTTTGAATAACACTTAATCATAGTAGATTTCATATTTAGTTTAGAGATAATTTAATTAGTAATTTTCCAGACAACTTACTTCATTTACATAGATTCCAAGCTATTCATTCGCCTTGGAGCCATAAGAAAAAGTCATTAAAGTAATAATGTTTCTTTTCATTTTTAGCACAAATTCACAGTAATCTAATAGCTTTTTCATATTTAAATATAAAGAATCCTGAAATTTTGAAAGTTTTAAACCAAAGCGATAACACTAAGTTCAGAAACGTAGCTATTATTGCTCACGTCGATCATGGTAAAACTACTTTAGTTGACACTCTTCTCAAAACTTCAGGTCTTGAACATGACAAATCCATGGATAGCAACTAGCTAGAATAGGAAAAGGGTATTACCATTCTGTAAGCAATCTAAAATTTTGTTCAATAATGGTTGGATTTAAATGGAGATTCATTAATATTCTTATCTCCTCTATTTAATAATTTTTTTATACTATGTAGAAGATATCCAATACTTGCCAAAAATATATCATGGATAGCAACTTAAATCATTTTTTTCAAATAATAGATCTAAGGTCACTGGTGTTACTTTTAAGGACTATAAAATTAACATTGTAGATACTCCTGGGCATCATGATTTTGGTGGTGAAGTCGAACGTATTATGTCCATGGTTGATGGTGTCATTCTTTTAGTTTGCGCTACTGAAGGTCCTATGACTTAAACCAAATTCGTCTTGAAGAAGGCATTGAAACAAGGTCTCAAGCCTATAGTTATTATTAATAAAGTAGATCGTCCCACTGCTAGAGTGAAAGAAGTTGAAAGCGAAGTAAGTTTTAGCAATTTAAATAGTTTTATCTCCTAAATATTTTAATTAATTTAACAAAAGATACTTGATATGTTTATTGAAATGGAAGTCAATGAAGATTTACTCGATTACCCTGTTTACTATGCTTCTGGTAGAGTAATAAATAAATAAATTGCGTTTATGCTTTTTGCTAAATTTTAGCATTTTATATCAAATAGGAAGGATGGGCTGTCCCAAGCATAGAAGAAATCAATTCACCAAATAAAAATGGTGTCGCTTGTGTTATGGATGCAATTGTTAGTCACGTCCCATATCCAAAATAACAAGTAGAAGGAGATTTCCAAATGCTTATTTCCCAAACAGAAAGTAACTAATATCATGGCAAGATGGTCATTGGTAAAATCTTAAGAGGACAACTAAATGTAGGTGATAAACTTACTTCAGTTGATTCTTCTGGTAATTTATGTGAAAATGGCAAAGTTATGAAAATCGTTAGAAGATACGGAATGAAGCAAGTAATAATTTTGATAGTTTAATTTAATTATTTTAAGTAAAGTGATATTTAGAATTAATAGATTTTAATTTAATTAAATCTTTTAAATTTTTAGTTAAGTTTTTTAATTAAATTTTATAATTTTCTAGATGGAAATTAATACTGCTTATGCTGGAGATATCGTTTCTGTAGCTGGTTTCTCTAATTCTACAGTTGCTTACACTCTTAACAAATACGGATGTTTAGATGCTGTTCCTGTAAATAAATAATTGATTGAATTATTCATTTTATTTCTAAATTTTAAATAAAATTAATATTATTAGAGTATTCCTATTGATCCTCCAATTATGTCAGTTTCAATTGCCACTAATACTTCTCCATTAGCTGGTAAGGATGGTGGTTAAAAGCTCACATACAGTTAAATTAGATAAAGACTTTAAGAAGAAAGTGAAAATGATGTCGCTCTTAAAGTCCAAGGTATATAAATAAATAAATAAACAAACATTCAAACATTTTTTAGTTAGAAAAAAGTCAAATTAAATTTAAAAAAATAAAAAATATGCAAAAAATGACAAAATTTTAGAAAAATAAAATTCCTTTTTTAATATAAATAAATAGGTCTTGATAGAAAAGATGGTAACAGTTTGATTGTTGAAGGTAGAGGTGATTTGCATTTAGGTATTCTTTTTGAAAATATGCGTAGAGAAGGTTTTGAAATGAGTTTAACTCCTCCTTAGATTCTCTTTAAAGAAATTAACGGAAAACAACACGAACCTATTGAAAAAGTTACTATTGAATTAGATCCTGTTTATTCTGCAAATGTTATTGAAAAGTTATCTCAACGTAAAGGTGTTTATGAAAATTGTGAAGAATTAAGTCCTATTTTACATAAGTAAACAAATAATTTTGGTTAGTAGATTAGTAAAATTGAAAAAATAATTAATTATATAGGCTATCTTTCACTGTTCCCACTAGAGGTATGATTGGTTTTAGAAGTGAATTATTGAACGACACAAAAGGTACTGCTGTCCTTGAAAGTTGCTTCTTAGAATATCAAGAACACAGAGGTGCTTTGAAAAAAAATAACAAAGGTCCTTTGATTTGCACAAGTGAAGGTATTGTTACTGCTTATGCTTTAAAGACCTGTGAAAAATTCGGTTAATTATTCATTGAACCTGGTTCTAAGGTTTATCCTGGTTAGGTTATTGGTGAAAACTAAAAAGAATCTGAAGTTGAATTAAATCCTACTAAAAAGAAAGAATTAAATAACATTAGAACTAAGTCACACGAAGAAAAGATCGTCCTCTAGCCTCATCGTGTTTTCTCAATCGAAGAAGCCATTTGCTATATTAGAGGTAAATCAATTATTTTATATAAATAAATAAATAAAAATAAATAAATAAATAAAACTTTCAATTAGATGACGAAATCGTAGAAGTAACTCCTAAGGAAATCAGAATCAGAAAGAAAGAATTAGATTCCAATGTTAGAGCTAAAATAAAAAGAGATTCAAAGAAATGAAATTAATTAATTAATTAACAAAATAATTATTCAGCAATTAAAAATTTAAAATTGTTTATTTAAAAAAGATGTCAACAAAAGCTAATATAACTAACTATTATTTTAATTATATAGGGTTTTTACTACCTTACCCTTTAAGTTAACAATATACATACATACATATATACATATATATTTATTTTATTAGTATAAAATAATTCTTAAAACGAACTAACTCCATTTTCTAATCAAATAAATTCTAACTAAATTCTTTAATAAATAATAAATAAGCATTTAAATGTTTTAAAGGATTTTAAGATTAAATTTAAATAAATATTTTTTTTCAACAATATTAACTAAGCATAAAAATAAATATAATTTTGAAAGTATTTATTTATTTATTCTTTCTTTCTTTCTTTTTTCTAATTTAGTCTTAAATAAAAAAGAAAAATATTTTATTAAATATTTTTAATCAATAGCAAATATTTTTAAAAATTTAAAGATGGCCAATAGCCTATAGGCTTATTAAGGGAGAAGATTTATGAAAAATATATATTTCAGTAAAAAATATAAACCAATTTAAGATTAAAATTTGAAAAAACTAAATTTAATGGTTTTGTCTGCAAAAATTATTATTTTTAAAATTGATAAAAAATGTATTTTAAATTGATATTTTAATAATATATTAATAAATATAAAATTAATTCAATATCAAAGTTCTTTATGATATAAGAGCATAATTAATATTCATTCATCATAATAAAAAAACTTTTTATTTTCAAACTAGTTTAAAATTAGAAATAAATTAATTTAAATATTTATTTAGTTTAAAGATAGTGTTGATTAAAATATATATTCATTAACAGATGCCTTAAAGATATTAAAAAAGAGTAAAAATTTAATATAAATGAAATCAAACATTTTAATTATAATTTTTTTATTCGATTACAATAAATAAATAAATAAATCAACCAATGTCTTTTTTTATGATTAAAAATCTTTTACTCAAAAATTGATATTCTGATTAAAGTAAAAAGAAAGTAAAGATATGAAATGGTTACAAAATATACCATTTATTGCAATAAAATTGACTGAAATACAATAAATAATACTAAATCATTACTATGATTATTATTATTACTATTATTCTTACTATAATTATTTTTACTTTAATTCTTCTTCTTCTTGCTTTAAGTAGTCTTTATATTTAATCAAAAATTTCTTTAATTTAGGTTCTACTACGGCTTTGCAGTATCTTTGTTCAGGGTTAATATCAAAGTAATTTTGATGGTAATCTTCAGCTGGGTAAAACTCTTCAAATTTATCAACTTTAGTTACAATAGGATCTTTGTAATACTTAGATTCTTCAAGCTCTTTAATGAGAGCTAAAGCTGTCTTTTGTTATTATTCACTCAAATAAAAAATTACTGACCTGTAATGAGTTCCTACATCCTCATCATTTTATCTATTTAATAGAGTTGGATCATGAACCTATTAATTACAAAATTATTTTTATTATTTTAAATCAATTTTTCTTATGGCGATTACATTGAAATAGATTCTGAGGAGATTTTCGTAAGAAATAACTTCTGGATCAAAAGTAACCTAAACTACTTCAGCATGTCCTGTTGTTCCTGTGTAAACCTCTTTGTAAGTAGGATTCTTCAACTCACCTCCAGAAAAACCAGAAATAACTTTTTGAACTCCTTTGACTCTCTTGAAGACAGCATAAATACACCAAAAACAACCACCTCCTAAAACAGCAACTTCCGAATTATTCATTTTTGTGTAAAAGATATTCTTTTAAATATTAAATTTATGATATTTATTTTAATTATTTATTATTTTTTTGAGTAAAAAATATCCTTCTTTCTTACTTATAAAAAAGTGCATAGAAAATTTAAAGAACTTTAAGAGAAATTAAAGAATAATAACGAATAATTTATTTATGTAATTTAATAAAAAAAAATAAGTAATTTGCATAAAGACTAGTAAACTTTTTCTTCTTATTTCGTCATTTCATGATTTTATTGATAAGTATAAGCTAGATGATTATGCTACTTCAAATAAATATTCTTTTACAATTAATCAGAAATATTCCGTCCATTTCTTAGTTACATAGTTACAATATTAAGAGTGACTATTAAAACTTAATATCATAAATATTAAAATAATCAATCAATCCATTTTTAGTTTATTACTCTTGCTGATTCGTAAAAAATAATTTTTATCATTGAAAAAAAAAAAATTCTAGTTTTTTAAAAATAATAAAATGCTTAATTAGAAATTTTTTGTTTAATTTGATGGTTTTTCACTCACTTTATTGAAAAAAATGGATAGAATTCAATTAATGGAAAACTATTACTAGTATAATTGATGATTAGTAAACTTAATATAATTTCTCTATTGATTTTAATGAAAGTGTTACTAATATTTAAATATGCAATTACTAGCAATTTTATTTAAGGAAAAAAAAAATAAATATTAAGGTTGCAATTTCAATAAAAAAAAATAACAAATACTAAAAATGTTTTAATTATTAATAAAATCAATAAAAGTACACAACTACCATATTTCTACTATAAAGTTTATAATTTACTTAAATTAATCTCAAACACTTAGCACAAAAAATAAATATAGTATTAATAAATCAAAATTAAAATCATTCATTCATTTATTAATTTAAAATTTGGATGCTTAATTTTTATTAATTTTGAAACATCTAAATTATTTTTTAAAATGCAAGTGATTTTACTTTACATTAAGTAGTAATTTTAATAAGATAAAATTTAGATAAATACACTTTTTAAAATAATAATAGATATTTATAAATTATCATGTTAAAATTTTTAATTTATAACAAAATTTTCGTTTGTAATTAAACTATGAAAAATGTTATTGATAAAGTAGCTTAAAAGTTGTAGATAAAATTAAATGCAATATTATTTTATTATTTTTTCTTCTCTTGACGATAAAGAATATAATTTTTTGAACGAATAATACTTATTCATGAAGAAAAATAATTATTATTATATAGATTTTTTAAATATTTTAATTAAGCTCTAATATTTTTATTTTTGATTTTTTCCTCACAAACAAAAATTTATAAAATTAATAAACCCTTAAAAATTTTTTATTTTATAATAATTATGCTATTAAAAAATTATATTAAATGTATAGATTTTATGGTTTTAAATATAACCTTGAAAAACAATTTTAATACAAAATTATAATTTTAAATTAATATTTATAAGACTTCAAAAAAGTTATAAAAATGATACATGAAGCTATTTTTTTAATATATACTATTATTTATATCAAATAATATATTTTTTATAAATTAAAGAAATAATTAAAATAATTTAGTTTTAAAATTCAACTATATCAAATATTTTTATTCAAAATTTAAAATATCCAACAACGATTTAAATTTTTCTTTATTTAGTAATAAAACAGATAGATAGATAACTTAATAAAATATATAAAAATTAGCTCAATTCTTATTTTAATTTTAATTTCAATTTCAATTAATTTATTTATTTCTTTATTTAGTAATAAAACAGATAGATAGATAACTTAATAAAATATATAAAAATTAGCTCAATTCTTATTTTAATTTTAATTTCAATTTCAATTAATTTATTTATTATTTTTATATAAACATTAATATAGGCTTGTGGATAAAAGTGGGTATTAAGTTTTTAATTTGCTAAATGAAATACAATTTTAGCACATAATTAATTAATTGGTTTTAATTTAAAAAATAAGATTTTGCTTATTAAATCAACCAAGAAAAAGAAAATAATCTTATAATTAATGCTTAATCAGATTTATTTATTATTAGCAATAAAAGAATAAAAGGTTGGATAGCAAATTTTTTTCAAAAATTAATTAATTCAGTCTAAAAAAAATAATTTAACCAAAAAAAATACCAATGTTTTAAAAATTAGTTTCTAAGTAAAAGATTAAATTGATGAGAGAAGACACATTTTTAATTTGCCACTCTTCAAAAATAATTTGAAAATCCATTAATTTGTTATATTTAGTAAAGCAGACAACTGAAAATTATTTACTTATATTTACATTTAATTTTTTTATGTTTATTTATTAGAATTAATTATTTTAATTTAATCTAGCTAAAATTTTAGTTAAATTTTTTATGAGATGAGTTATTTATTTATTTATTTATTTTTTATATGTTCATTTATTAGTTTAAGACATTCAAATTTAAAAGCTATTTAAGGCATCTTACATACCTATAATTTTTTAAGCTTATACTAAAGATGGATCTACTTTTTTCCAATTAAATCCTACAGCTTTTCTATCAACAGTTCTTTTTTTGAGAGTTTCTTTAGTGGTTTTCCCTCTATCATATTATAAAATAAAAAATTTATTATATATTATCTAAAATTTTATTTAGTATTTTAAATAATTTCTAGTCTATAAGTTCCTCAAATAAACAAGCATTTATCTTCAAAAAGATCAAGCAAAAATTTGATGAACTTAGAATCTATCTAGAAATGTATATCATAAGTAAATAAACAATTACTTTATTATCAAATAACCATGAAATAGACATAAGCCGAGAATGCCAACACATAAAATACCAACTGGCACAACAAAAATAACTAAAAGGACAATGTACGCTAATTAATTAATTTTGAGATTATTTTAAAGTTAGATCAATATTAAATTTATAAATATATCTTTAAAGAGCGTTTTCATTCAATATTCTAAAAATGCTCTCTATTTTTAAGGTATTTTAATAAAATTAAGAATAAATTTACTTGTTTATGATAAATCACTTTCATTTTCTTTTACAAGGAATACTATAATTCCACAAATTACTGAGAGACATAACACAGAAACGGATCCTACAAAGGATATAAAGTATCTATAATTTCTCTTGCCAACACAATTATTTACAAAAGGACAATGATGATCATATACTTCTACACAATTATCACAATCAGTACAATGAGAAGCCCTAGGAGGTCTATAAATTTGGCAAGTTGCACAATAATTCCTTTATATGTTTTCAGTATCTGCATCTGCGAAATTTCCATTTAAAAATTAATCATACACTTCCCTATTTGTATCATCCATTGTAAGGAGGATTATATTTCTTCGAGGTATAATTCCTGGATCTGTGAAGCCAGTTAAAAGCAAAAATATAATTGTAGATATAAATAATATAACATTAACTATTGCTAACACAGGAGAAAAGTTTTTAAAAATTGGAGGCATCACTAAGACAAGATATGGTATTCCTGCCCCTAAAACGCAGATCCATGTATAACAATTCGGACCCCAATCTGCTCCTGGACCTATCATAAGTTTTCCATTACAACAAAATCTATTAGTACCAGGCCACATTTAGTATAATTTTAAATAACCATTTTTAGCAAATCTAGTAATTTTCGCTTTTAAATTTGTTATCCCTTCACTCCTTTTTTATTCCCACTACTACTCATAATTTGTGCTCATTTTTAATTAGTTTTACAGCTTCAACTCTTAAAATTTGTCTTTTCGTTAGGTTTTAAATTAAATTGTTTGCAAAAATAGTAAAATTAATTATTAATATTTTATGACGATAATTATGTCAAATTCTTACTTTCTTTTATCAAAAAAAAAATTTTTAATTTGCAGCAATTAAATTACAATTTATTTATTTATTTATTTATTTATAAACTAGAATTTTTTTGTAGTTAAATATTTTTTTTTAAATAAAAAATCAACCAACAATTTTAAATATAAATTTTGTTGCAATTTAAAGCACTAATTACAATAGCAAAAATCATTTTTTGAAACACCTTAAGTGAATGGACAATATAACTTTATTCTCAATTCGTTTTTATAAATTAAGTTTCTTTTGAAGAAATAAATAACCTATTTTGTATTATATTTATTATTTGAATAAAATTCTAGCAATTTTAAATTATTAATTAAACTTTACAAAATAAATAAATATTAGACTATTTGTTATTTCGATCAATTAATTGTAAATAATTATAAATTGTTAATTAAATTAAATTTTACTAAATAAATACATTTGAGTATTTGTTATTTGGATAGAATGCAAACAATTTAAAATTATTAATTAAGCTTTACTTAATAAATAAATATTTGAATATTTGTTATTTGATAAAATACAAACAATTTTTAATTATTAATTAGACTTTACAAAATAAATAATATAAATACCTTAGAGTATTTACAATTTAGATAAAATACAAACCATTTTAAATAATTAATTTAATTAAATTTTACTAATAAATGAGTTTGATATTTAGGCACAAATTGTACATAGAGTAAATCAACTTCAAAGAATTAATAAAATATAAAAATTATTTTTATTTTTAAATTAATAAAATAGAGTTTTGATAATAAAGATTTTTTACTGAAGCTGATAAAAATTCTAGTTCTGAATTAACAATATTAAATATATAAAAAAATTAATATTCATAATTGCAAATTGATTAAAAATAATATAAAAGTAATATTGAAGAATATTGGAATCAAGTTCAAAGTAGATTTTAATTAAAAATAAATAGACTTTGATATATGGATAAAAAACTCTAAGCTTTAGGAATAATTTGTATTATTAATCTTCTGAATTTCGTATCGATTAAAGGAGAAGTTTATCTATAGAGCCAGTAAAAATTTTAGTATTTCTACAACTGATAGAGATTACTTTTATAATAAATAAAAGAGATATTCCTGAAGAAGAAATAAGCCATAAGAGTAGCTAAATATATATTTTATAGCTTTTCAAGAACGAAAATGAGCAATATTATGTGAAAGGCTTTGACGTGGGCCAGCAGTAGCTTATTAGAATGATGGTTGATATTAATTCAAGCTTCAACATTATTAGCAATTCTACTTTGTTTAATGAAATTCAAGCGAATACCACTCATATTAACTCAACTGACATTCCCTATATGAAACATATTTACAAATAAGATTTCAAAGTTGGAAAAACCCTTGAGATTGATTTCTTTAGATAAAATAAGACAAACGTTATTGATATCCTTTATACTAATTACCCTTTATCTTTCTAAGGCATAAAAATAGATGGAATATTAGGATTTTCCAGGGCGAATTTTGAAAAAAATTTGATTTTCAAAAGACTACCTCATAGTAATCATCAAAAAAAATATAAAAATATTCTAGCTTCTGATAATTTCAAGACATTTTAAGATGATATATACGAAAATTTTAATGTTGCAAAGAAAATATTCTCAATATATTTGAGTCCTGAGAGCGCTGAGCACTATTCTTACATAATAGTCGGGGAATTTGAAGCTAATATATTCAAAAGAAGGTAGTAATAAATAAATAAATATATAAAATAATTGCTTATTAGAAATCTTTTAATCTTCTTTACAATCAAATATAAAATAGGACACTCATTAGTACCTATTCTACTAGAGATTATGCGTGGAGCTTTTTCATAGAGTATCTGGAAATGGGATCGGTCTAAATTTAGTTCCCAAAAAGATAAGACACATTTATTTCTTTGATTCATAATTACATAGGGATAAGTCTTAAATCCTTTGAGCTAATAAAAAATGCACTCATGCAAAACTGCAACGTTGTTTCTACAAGTGTGAACAATGAAGGATTCCTAGAATTCCAGTTAAACGTAGATTCTCAATAGTACAGAGAACATTCAATTCTAAGAGTCCACTTAAGTAAATCAATGTACTTTGATATGGTGGAAAAGGTTTATTTACGCTAATGCCTGCTATCTGTATAAGATATGCTCATAACATGCTAGACCAAAATAAAACTCTTAGAAGAAAAAGATTTAGATGATGTAATAATATTGGGTACACCATTCCTGCAGTATTATTACTCTGTTTATAACTAAGAAACTAATAGAATTACAATTGGAATGGCCAATTTTTCAGATCTAGAGGTTGCCCAAGCTAAATTCTGGTATTACATCTTTGTCCTTCTTATCTTTCTATTTGCTATTTTACTGATATCAATTGGAATTTTTTACAAAGAAGAATTTTCTAATCTAGTCTTAATTGTAAAAAACACTATCAGATATATCTGCTGCAGAGATTAATAATCCCGATTAGAGTTACTAAATATTGCGAACAATTGATACTCACTCCTATGTTTACAATTAATTATTCAAAAACATTTCAATGAAATAAGTTAAAAAGAATATATTAAAAAATATATTTCAATTACTTATAGAAATTAATAAGTTAATTTTATAAAAACACTAATTTCAAACAAAAGAATTATAAAAATTTTTAATGAAAGTTGCAATCTAATAATAAAAATACTTAAAATTAAGTTTTTTTACTTTTTTGTAAAAATTATTTATTTATTTTTGAAACAAAAAAGTATTCTAAACACCCAAATATATCTTGAATAAACTTAAAAATTAAAACTTTTCAAGTATCTACTTGCTTATTTTAAGATATCCAATAAAAAAAATATTGTTGACTAAGATTTAATCAATTCCTTTTTAAAAACATGAAACTTAAATATTTTAAATTAAGCCTTTTTAAAATTAAATTTTGTTATTGATTTAATTGCAATTATTAAAGAGAAAAAAAGTGCTATTGAAGCTTCAAGCTATTTCTTTTGAAAAATCATACATTTAGAATCCTACCAAGATAATCTAAATATGATAAATAAAAGTTGTTAAAATCCATTAAAGCATGTAAAATATTTTATTTAAAATAAAAACTTATCTTGAACTGCTTTAACTTTATGTTTTAAACTTTCAAAAGTATTCTTGAGAAATAAAACCTTATAAAATTTGTAATTTAAATATTGAAAAATTATTAAAAATTGATTTACATAGAAACAATTTATAGTTTTTAAAAAAATCATTAATAAATTGAAGATACTTTTCAAAAAAATAAATAAATCAATTAAATTTTTTGGATAGCAGTTCTCCTTCTATCCAAGAAAAAATTAAAATTTTAAAAGAGTATTTTTCTTTTTTTTTGGAAATTGATTTCATTTTTAGGCATAAAAATTAATTGGTAAATTGATATTATTTCTTTTGTATGAAATAAATTAGCTTTTATGTTATTTACTTAAAATAAATTAAGTAAAATTGCTATTTATTTTTAAAAACTTATATAAAATTCTCTAAAGTCTATTCAATAAAAAGTATTCATATATTTATTTTATTTAAATATTTATTCAATTATTGAATACAATTTAGGCTTTATTATAGCCTTGAGAAATATGTTGAATTTATTTTAGAGATATTTTGAGAGGGAGATTTTGAAGGATATTTTGAATAATTTTAGAATAAAATAAGTATGTATGTATATATATAGAGAGCGAAAGGTTTTGAGTGGGTTGTTATTTTAAATAAGTGATAATATGTTAACCTACATGTTATAAAGTGATATATATTAATTTTTGATTGTATATAAACAGTTTTGTATTGATTGTATTGGAAAGTTGTTAAACTATCAAGCAGCTCAACGGTATCTTCTGAGCTTGAGCATTTGTCTAGCTCTCCAGTTACCCTTTCTGGAGGTTCTGAGAGATTTAGCTCTGTGGCCCTTAACTCTGAGACCTCTACCCTTTCTACCAGCGGAGGTAAGACCTGTAATGTTAAAAAAATAATTAGTAACAAGTTTACTTTAAAACTAAATATAAATAAATGAATTTTTTATTAAAATTAAGTTTATCAATCTAGCTTTGTTTTATTCATGCTACATCCTTCAATTTTTTCCATTTGGTTATCAATGCTTTAGATATTGATGATTTCATGTGTATTTAATCAATCAATGAATCAATTCATTATTAAAGAAATTCATGCAAATTATCGTTAGCTAAACCAATCGATCGAAAAGGAAAATTGAGTAAATAGTATAATTATCAAGTATATCAAATCTAATCTCCCTTAATATAAAGTAGATAGTGAATTTATTAGCATTAATCAAGCAATTCAAATGCTTAGGACAATAATTTAATTGCATTTTATATTCACATGCTAAGGTTTATTTTCAGAATTTGTGTTTTCTTTAAAATCAACAAATTAACTATCATCCACTTAAATTGATTTGCATCTAAATCGAGTAGCAAGTGAATAAATAACAAAGCTATCATGAAAACTAGAAAATTTTCTATTAAGAATGCTAAATAATTTGATAATTACCTCTTAATTCTCTGTGCTTGTGAGCAGATTCACAGATCCAGTTGATTCTGGGGTCGTTTCTGATGGCGTTGTGAGAGGGATCAGCGAGGATAACTTCGTAGAACTTGTAGGTACCGTCTTGACCAACCCAGTAAGAGTTGAGGACTCTTAATTCAGGGACTCTCTTACCGACTCTTTCTTCAGCGCAAGATCTGAGGTTTCTGGCGAACTTCAATTGGTTGATACCAACACTGGAGGGCTTACCGTAAACGATACCCTTGGAGACAGGTCTCTTTCTACCACCTCTTCTGACTCTGACTCTCCAGATAGCGTAACCATCCTTGTTCTTGTAACCCAACTTTCTAGCCTTGTCGGGTCTGGAGGATCTAGAAGCCTTGTGGATGACGGGTAATTGTCTGTATTCCCAGGTTCTAAGACGCAAAATGAAGGACATGAGATCAGATTGCTTCTTTCTCCATAATTCTTCCAAATATTTGTAGGCACCCATTTCTAATTGCTTTTACTTTTTACTTTTAATTAATTTTACTCTTTTTTGATTTTTTTACTTTCGTATCTTGCTCTTTTCCCTTTTAATTAATAAACAAATTAATTTTTCTAATCCTTTTAATTTGGCCCTATAATGAAGATTTCCCATGTTCTATCAATGGAAACCTATAGCAACAAACAGAGAAATCAAAATAGCTGACTGAGTTCATCAACCTCAGTTGAATTTTATCTAACTATCTATGATTGCAATTAATTATTGCATAACATTTTATTTATTTACTAATAAAATATCATCGAATATGCAAGTAAATTCTATTTCATAAAATTAATAATCCTGATTATACTGCAATTAAATTTAATTTAAATTTTATAAATATTTTTAAAATTAATGTTAAAAGTTTTTATTTAAAATCTTAGTCAAAAAATTTTATTTTTAAAATTGGCAGAATTTATTTAATAAAAGTTAAACTTTCTTCAACATTTTATTATGAAAATTGGTATAATTTAATAAAAGTAACAACATATTTATTTTTTTATGAAAAAAGTTTTAATTTTTGCATGTTTAAAAGCAAAATTTATTATTTTATTTTTAACTAAAATTTCTTTTAATATTTGGAATAGTTATTTTTGTAATTGTAGCAACTCTTCTTTTTTTTTTGATATGATATTTAGTAAATAATTTATATCGTTATATTTTCTTGTCATTCTAGCTAAATTATTAATTAATACTTTTTATTTGATAAAAATTATTATATCATCAAAAAAACTGAGATTTTATAGGCAAAGCCTATAATTTAAACTTATAAAATATTCACTTTATTAAAAAACTATCTGAAAAAACAATCCATTTTAAATTAGATTTTTTCTATTTATAAACCATTTTGAATTTATTTTAAAGCCTTATTATAAGAGCAATTAGTTTAAGGTAGACATATTATTAAATGCTGTCTAGACCTTTAGATCTACTCATACAAATAAATTAAATTAATAAGGTGATTAATTTTTAGATAGAAAAACAAAAAATAAATGATTAGCTATAAAAAAATGTATATAAATGAATATAACTAAATTGATTAATTGATGATTATTAATATTTTTAACTATTTTTTATTTACAGGTATATAATTGTATACATATAACTCATTCTGTTTAAATAACATCTTACTACTTTTAACTATTTTCTTTTTAATTAAGGCTGATTTACTCATTTTTAACTGATTATAAGATAGCTTCAACTATGCTGTTATCGGCTTATTCACAGCCTGGTGGTCTTTGATCTAAAGCATATGCATTTATTTATTCATATTCTTCGATTGTTTTTTGCATAAATACTTCATAATTTTCAAATTTAACAAAATTAGCTCTATCACTAATGAAGTGTCTATATTTAGCACTGTGCTTTTCTCCAGCAAAAAGATTAATAATAGGTTTGTTGAGAGTTGGAATGCTAATAGCTGGTTATTACTAAATTACTAATTTTCCATATTAACCCCAAATCTATTTAATTTTTATTAAAATGTTTTATAAAATAAAGAACTAATTAATTAATTATTTATTTATTTATTTACCTAAAGAATTTCTCTTCTAGAGAACCCAGGATTTTACTTTCCGAAATATCTTCTGTCCATATCAGAAAAGAGCCATGGAGTCTCATAAGCTGCTCTTCCTAACATGCATCCATGCAATCCATTTTCTTATTTCAAAATATCTGAGATTTGATCATATGTTTTAAATCCTCCATTTATTGAAAAATGTAAATGAGGAAATTCCTATTTCAATCTGAGAACGTAATCATACTTTAAAGGAGGAACATTTCTATTCTAAGCAGGATTGAGACCCTTTAAAATTTAAATATAAATAAATAAATATCAATCAATATGGTTACTTATAAAATTTAAATATCAATTTATTAATTTGGAGCTTGTTTGATTTTTGGAATTTATTTTGTTTTAGTTCAGTAGAAATTTATTTATTTATTTGTAGAATCAATCAATTAATTAATTAATTTTCTCAAAGAAATTGATATGAATAAATAATTTTTACCTTTAAAAATGCCTTTCTTGCATGTACTACAAAATGCTAGACTTGCCCTTTTTCAGAAACTGTTTTAATAAAATCTCTTGCAAATTCATAGGAATCAAAGTTATCAACTCCTAATCTGCATTTAACTGTGACTGGAATTGAACAAGCTTCCTTCATTTTTCTCATAATTTCTGCTACTAGTTCTGGCTCTTTCATTAAACATGCTCCAAATTTACCACTTTAAACTCTATCAGAAGGGCAACCAACATTTAAATTAACTTCATCATAGCCTATTTCTTCACATATCTTAGCTGCTTTAGCCAAATTATCTGGATCATTGCCACCTAACTAGATAACTACTGGATGCTATACTGGATCAAACCTCAAAAATTCCTAAGGACCACGACTTTTTATATAAAAATATTTAAATGAGTAAACAAGTATTCCTACTAAAAAAATTATTATTTTTTACATATTATGATGCACTGCTTATTCGTGAATCATCTCTGTATAAAGAATTGAGTATCTAGTTAGCAATCTAATGAAATTCCTAAAGTGCACGTCAGTGATATCCTATTAGTAGTTAAATTAGAGTTAACTAAGCTTTTTGATTACAAAGACATATATTATTTACAATCATTGGAGCTACAGCAATAGTGTGATAGTTAATGTTTGCGATGGGGTAATGGTAATCTGTTGAAGATAAAAAATGTTTGATGCCTTTGTAGTTCTATATTTCTGAAGTATTATTCACTTTAATTTCCTCCTCTTGTTGCTGATGGTTTTATTGTTCCTAGTTCATCTGATTCGCTTAACTTTCTTCTGTAAAATTCAAAATCTATTATTTATTAAGTTCCTAAGTTGTCTCTATTAATTGATCCTAAGAGTTATGATTGTGATTTTGCTATTAATTCTAATCCATTTTTATAAATATGATTCCTATATTTTGAAACTACTCTTCCTATAAAAGACCTAGATGACATTATAATTAAAAATATTTTGTTTGCTTTTGGAATTGTAAAAATATCTTAATCTTTTCTAATAACTCAAAAAATTATATAATATACCTTAAATTTATCTTTCTCTATCTATCTATTTATTTCTCTTTACTTTTCTTTAAAGGCCTTCTACTTTATTTATTTTATTATTTATTAAATAATTATGAAATTCTTTTTACAAAAATTGAAATTTCTTGGCTAATTCCTATCTAAAATAATTAATTCTTCCAACCATTTTCTGTTTATTTCTTATAGTCATGGACTAGAATTCCTTTAAGACACTTTAAAGTTTAATTAATATTTACTATTATCTATGTGTCTGTATGCTTATTTATTTTTTTAGATTTTAAAAACTTGTATCCACTTTAGCAAGCTCAAGTTTTTCAGCAAAACTTCTCATTAAACTTAAATAAAAAATAAAACATACAAAATAATAAGATAAATATTGTAATTGTAACAATAAATGTAATCAATTTATATTAATTTTATTTTTTCAAATTATTTTATTTCATAATTATTATTTCTACACTTTGTAATTAATTCATTATTTTTAAAGTGAAAAATTTAATAAATTCGATTTGATTAAGTTTAAATATTAAAATGATAATTCATGTAAAGATATAATAGGAAAATAGATTCAAAGTAAAATGATAAGAATTATTATTTTTTTTAATTAATGAAATAGAATTTTGCAAGACAAATTTAACTAATTTTTAAAAATTAAATAAATATTTTTTAAATCCAAAAAATACAAAAGCATTAATAAAAATTCTTAATTGTATTATGAAAAATGAGGCTTAAAATATCTAACTCCTAACTTTGGAAAATACGCAAAATTTAAATTTACTTATTAAAAAATCAACTTTATACAAAAAAAATCTAAATTTGTTGGGTTTTAGCAAGAATTATAAACTTTTAAAATTTGTATTTATCACTAAATAATAAAATTAACATTTTGATTTGTTTTTTTTTTTGATGTTGTTTGTTTATTATAACTTTTTTCTAAACTTAATTATTTACTTATTTGTTTTTTTATTTATCTATTTATTTATACTTTTTATTTATTTATATTTTTTATTTATTTATTTTATTTTTTCTTTATTTATTTTATTTTTTCTTTATTTATTTTTTATTCTGTTTTATAGTTAAAAACTATTTCTTCTAATCTCGTCTCAACCTATTCCTATTTTAAATTTATTTAAATATAATTTATGTTTTTATCTTTTGTTTGGGTAATTTTGAAACGAAGCTTAATGAATTTATCTTTGGCATGACTATTTTTTAAAAATCTGGATGATATTTTTTTTCGCTTTTTCGATTGATATTGTAAATGGTTGCAGAAATGTGCGAAATTAAAAGTGCAAAGTTGATCTGAAGGTTAAAAACTAGTTGGTAATGATCAAACTTGCTACAATGAGGATTTGCGCTGGAAAAATCGCTCACTTTTTATTTAAAAAATAGCTTCTCATTAGATTTTAAGTGATAGTTATGTGAGGATAATTCATAGCTGGTTTTTGAATTTTTTTTTGGAAGTTAAATTTTTTGTTTAAAATATTAATTATAAATTTTGAAGAGATCAATAAGTGATTAGTATTCAAATAAAAGATACAAAACTTAATAAAGAGAGAGATTGATAGATAGATAAGCAAATAATTAATTAAATAAAAAATAATCAAATTTAAATGCAGAAATATCTTAATTAAAAAATGCTTGGGAATTGATTGAATCCATATAAAATAATTAAAAAAAAATTATAAATTGAATGTGAAAATAAATATTAATTAATTAATTAGTTAAATAGAAACCAAATACACTAACTAAATCTTTTGAAAGATAAAAGTTTATTCAAGCTATTTTGATATTAAAAAATATTCATTAATAGTTTTAAGATTGATTGTAAAGTATCAAAAATAAACAAACAAACAAACAATAAAAGAGAAAGGAAATAATAATAAGAAAATAAGTATTAATTAGATAGAAAGAAAATGAAGTTAGTGCGTTTCTTAATGAAGTTAAAGGGTCAAACCGTTACAATCGAATTAAAGAATGGAACTTAGATTATCGGATCAATTATTGCTGTTGATATTAGAATGAATACACATTTATCAAAAGTAAAAATGACTATAAAAGGCAAGAATCCTGTAAGTTTAGACCACTTGACAATCAGAGGTAACAACATCCGTTACTTCTAGTTGCCTGATGCTCTTCCTTTAGATACTCTCTTAGTAGACGATTAGCCCAAAATCCAAAAGCGTCAACAAAATCAAAAGGACGCTAGAAAGGGAGGCAAAAAGGTTAAAAGAGCTCCTGCTAGAAGATGATATTTAAAACAAAAAAAAATATAAAGAATATAGGATTATATCAATAAAAGTAAAAAGTTATCTAACTCAAGTCACTCAAAAACAAACAATATAACAAATGAATAAATTATCAACTCATTTTATAAGATGTATATGCATGCATGCTCTTTATTTGTCCTTTTGTTTTTTTCTTAAGGTATTATTATTATATTCTTCTTTTTAATTCATCACATATCAATCAATCAATTACTATTTACATTAATTACAGCTGAATACTTCTGCTATAAGGTAAAATTAACTACAACAAACAAACAAATAATATTCGAGAGAATAAATTTATATATTTTTTAGTTGTCTTTTTTAAAGTTAAAAATGGAAAACAAGTTAGATAAATAATGAAATGAGAATAGCTAGAATTTAATTGAATGAAAATTAAAAGGATATACACATATATAATCTATATATCTATTTATCTATTCAATAATAAGCAAAGCAGCAAAAAAAAAAATTTATTTGTATTTCTAGACACAAATTTTAATTACAGTAAAGTAAAATGAATTATTTGCATACATTTCAGAGCAAAAATAATAAATAATATTTTTAGTTTAAAATGTATTTAATTTTAATAGATAAACGAATGAATGAGTGAATTACATCATACATATATAATTTAACAAAAAATAAAAATGTTTTAAAGGTGATTAATTTATTGATTAATTATTTATTTATTTAGTGGGTTATTTAGTTAATTGTTTATTCATCATTTATTTACTTATTTATTTTTGAAATCATTTTTAATATATGTTAAAAAATAATTTTCTTTTGTATAGAGTTTTAACTAGCATCAGTTGTTGTTGTTGTTATTGTTGTTATTGTAATTGTAAAAATAGCCGTTTGCTGATATTTATTACTTTAAATCTAAATTGTCAATATTTTGATATATTTAACTTTTAGACCTAATATATCTGTGCAGATCTATAGGCTTATGATTTTTGTTGGCATAGAATAAAATATAAGGCGTTTCTGACTCACTAATTAATTTCAAATAATTCATTAAAAATTACTTTATTTTTGTTAACGAAAATATATTTTACGCAAAGTTTTTAACTAATTCGTCTGCATTGCTTTTGATTTATTCGATAACAGTGTTATCATCATAGAGTTTCCAATTACTGTTTGGTTATTCTAAATCTTTACCGTAAGTGATGTAATGGCCAGTGTCAATTTGAGAGCCCTAAATTTTGGGTAATTTTAAATAAACAATTAAAAATTGAAATATTTTATTTTACCAAATGCACGATAAATGCATATAATTTATACTCGAAATTTTGAAGTTGATTTTGTGGTATAGAAGTGTTTTCAAAAATATCTTATATATTAAAAGACTGAGGAAGATTGGTAGGATAAAGCAGCTTAATTCTCTCTTATTTTTGCTTATCATATTAAAATCTGCCAATATAAATAGTTAAATAAGGAGGAAGGATTTTAACAAGAGCTGACTTAATAGCTGAAGTCTTTTTATTACATTTATCGCAGTAAAAAGCGTTGTTTTCGTCAAAAGTCTCAGCCTAAAAAGAGCTTCTAATCATTTAAATCAAATCATAGTTTTATCTCTCTTTTACATAAGCTTGCTGGCAAAAGTTTACATAAATATCAAGTATTTTTTCAGTGTTTCTAAAATTCGTTTTACATTATTAACATTAAATTACATTTTCCTTTTTACCAAAGAAAAATCTGTCAATTTCTTCATTTTAATTTGTGTCTTTTAAATAATTTTATATATAGTCCAAATACATCCTCCCGAACTCACCAGAGTCTTACATTTCCATAGAACTTCTGAAAGGCTCTGGAAGTGAAAGTTTTAGCTATTTGGCATCTATATCCATAGAAATTGGTTAGCTATACATTTTAAAAAATACCTTCATTATTTCCTCCACTGGATCAAGAAAGTTGCAAAAAACTTTTGACTTATCAAACACAGTTTTGTAGTCTAAATATTTATCAATTTTAATATTAAAAATAAATCTATCAAAAAACCCAAATAAATAAATAAATCTAAATCTAAAATAATTTATTCAGTTTAAATTTTTGTTTTATTTTATTAAAATTTATATGAAAAAAAATTTTTTACGTAAAACAAACTCTCTAAAAGCTTAAGCATGATAAAGACTGTGTATGAATGAATTAATATAGCAGGTATTTCCTACATTTATTAAACCTGATAGTTAGTAACTCGGTTCAATAATATTATCGCCCATTTTATATACATTTTTCATATCCTCTATTTTTTGCCTTATATATTATTCATTTATGTCAATTAGCTTGTTGTCAATACCTTCTTTAACTATTTCCTTTAGTTTTTACGCGTATTATGCACTAAGCCCTCTAGTAACATCTTAATTCATATAAATTAAGTAAAAGAATTTATACAAATAAGATATTTCTTCTCTATTGATTGCTTATTTAAAATGATTGACGAAATCCAATTATTTGATAAGTGTTTGCATCTATAAGTCAGACAATTAAACAGTCTTTGCTAAACCTGTAATTTATTAAAATTAAACAAAGTTTATTTACATAATATAAATTTGATTAAATCAAATATGTTTCAATCAGAAAACAATAAACATAAATCTGTTCATTCATTGATTCTTTTTTCAACTTGAGAAACAAATTCATTCACTTGAAAAAAAACTAAAAAATTTACCAAAAAGAGTTTCTTTGATTAAACCTACTGTCTATCTTAAACAGTTTTTACATTATATTTTAGAAATAATTTTTTTCATGATAAATTCATTGTGGACATATTTAATAACATCAAATCTCCTAATTTAACTTAGTGACCTGATTATGTTGAATATTAAAAAGCATATATCTTGAGTGTATCCACAGTCAATCAAATTGTTAAGTATAATAACTGTGTCTTCAGGATTGAAGAAAACGTATATTAGGTCAAATGAGTAGGATTCAAAGTACTTATATAATAAGTCACCTTAAGCTAGCTATTTGATAAAAATTTTATTCTCATTCATCTATTTATTTATTTTTGGAATAATTTACTTGTTCTACTAACACATGAAGATTCTAATTAGGGCGAATAGGATCTTTGCTGTCCCAAGGTATTTTCATTGATTTAAAAATGAATAAAAGTATGTCAGTTAACTTTGAAACGTCATAGTTTTATTCTCCTTCTTAACTAGAGAGAGCTCTTTAGAATATGAGCTAATTGAGCTTTTGAACAAGCTTGATTTCAGAATCTGTAATAGAGGGAAGGATTAGCATGTATTTGATTAGTATCTACATTTTTAATTATTTATTTATTTAATAAAATTCACTTATTCAAATAAATTAATTACTATAACGAGATAATTTGAAATAGAATAAAGTCTGGTAGGATTAAAAAGCAGTATTTCTTCAATAATTGTTTATATTTTATTATTGGTGTCTTTTACATCTTACGACTTAATTTTTTGTGTTATCTGCTAATTATATTTCTACTCAACCAACTACTATAAAATATTAGTTAAAAAATAATTATCCAGCTCATTAACACTTGCTAAATTCTCTATTTTCTAATCTAAGAATTAAGTAACTTCATCTTTGAATTATTGATATTCCCTTTATATTGATTAATTGGTCAGCCATGGTATTGTTATTACACAATTTAATTTTAATGCAAGCCCAATCACTTCTAACTACTCGCAATTCTCTACCAAATCTTAAAAAAACTTTACATTGAAGAGCTTTCTTATTTCTGATTAATGAATATTATCGCTTGTAATGAGGTTATAAACTAACTGGAAATTATAGTACTTAAATTATCTCTAATTTATTTAAAAATATTTTTATTTATTTAAGCTTTAATAAAAATTACAATTTAGTATTTTTATTGAAATAATTTTATTTATTTTAATCATTAACTAACTACTTATAAAAAATGCAATTACTAATGGACTGATGGATATCTGATACACTATTCTAGACTTCTCGTAAGCCGTTTTAAAAAACTTATAGAACTTTAAAATAACTTCTTCTTGAATTTTCCTGTCTTCCTGTGCATTATATTGTGAAGCAAAGTGGTCTTCTGGAGTGAATTATGGTTCTCCAGCAGTATTAGTATTGATTTTGCTTTAATACATTTGCTTAATAGTTTTGTTATTTTTTAGATAATTAAGTTGACTCTTAAAATTATTTTAATTGCAGATAGAAGCCTAAATTATCTATTTTTATTTGCCTAATTGAGACTGCTTTGCAAAAACTCTCCTTTGATAAAATGGATGGATTATTATTTACTCTTACAAATAAAATTATAATAAATATTTTTTAAAAATTGCTTAGATACAATATTAATTTTCTTTTTGTAATAAAAAAACTAATAACTTTTACTCAAATTTTATATGCAAATATTCTTAAATAAACAATGTCAATTCAATCAATTTACTAAACTTTGGTTAATTATTTCTAACACCAAAAAAAAAAATACTAATTCATATATTTGGGTTTGTATGTATCTGATATAGATTGGCATTTATTATTTTTTGGTTTGTTTGACTGATTAGCAAATGCATGTAAGTAAGCAAGCAATTAATCATTCCAATACCGTTCTCTCATTTATACATATTCTTACTTAAAATTAAAATATCTATTCTTAAAATTCAAATTGGAATCTTATTACGTAAAAAAACTCTCAAATAAAAATGTGTCCAGAAAAGAATAATTAAAAGATTTTTCAAATCAACAATTTTTGGCAAAAAAATATTTAAAAAAAGTTTATTTTTAAAAAATAGATTGATTGATTAAATTTTACTGATTAATGTCTTTAAATTAAGTAAGTTATTTTTCTATTATAAAAATATGCTGAGCAATAAAATAAATGCCAACAGCTAGCTATTAAAAATAGAAGACGTTTAAAATAAATATAATTTATTTATTTTATGTTTTGATAATCTGATTAATAAATAAATATCAATAAATTAATTATTTAATTAATATTATTTTCTAAGCAAAAAAACATATTTTTTGTATCATTTTAATTTATTTAATAAGCAAATTTAGTTTCTTTGATTAATAAATAAGGTATTTTATTTTCATTCAGCTTGCAAGCAAATACCAATTTAAAAAAAGCAGTTTAAACAAACTACTACTTCAATTATCACTAAAGCTATTGTCATTTTGAGTATCAAAATAACATATAAAATATATATTGTCCTAAAAATATATTCGTTGAGAACACTAAAATACTTGTTGCAAACTAAACAGTAACAAACTCGCTTGCTTTTCGATTGAAAAATTTTGATTATGTGATGTATGCTTATAAGGCTATTTGGTATAAATGTATTTGAAAATGAAATAAATAATCTTTATAAATTTGAATTTGAAATGGAAAGCATCTGACTAATCAATACTCTAGACAGGCAACGAACGAAACAAACGATAACTAACTATAAGAATAAGTTCAATTTATTTATTTATTCAATGCTGCTTATTTTAATATTGTGCCAGATTTCACTCATCAAACTAATACGAAATTAATTTTTGATAGTGGTTTCTTTGCAAGTAAAAATGCAACTATCTCTACTTAGTTAATTATATTATGTCACTTTACCTCCTTTTCCTCATTGCTTTTCAGTGACTTTAGTTTCTCCGGCTCTTTCACGGAAGAAGTATTCTGAAGTTACATTGAAAGCTTCGACGTATCTAGTGAGGCAATTAGCCAATCTTTATTCATCGTGAAGAACGAAAGGTTTATTTTTGTCGTTAATAACCTTGAAGCAAACCTTATAGGCTAAATCAGAAAAAACTTGGGTAGTGTTTTGTTCCATTTTCGCTTATCCTATATTTTATTATTATATTTTAATGCGGTGAAATCAGCTATTGCTATTTTTCGTTTCTATCTTGAAAATAAAATGGAGAAATTAAGCTAACTAATTAATTAATTAATTACCTCTTTATATGATTTGTCTTTATTAATTTCTTTCTCTTTTTTTCTTTTTATTAATTTCTTTATAAAATCTTGATTTCCTATATTTTTTATTGATTCATTCTTCTTCTTTATTATCGATTATCATTTCACTTATTTGAAGCAAAAAATCCTTCTTACTTACTATACACATCTCATCTCGCTATTTGTATGTAAACATTTTTATTTATTTATTTGCTTATCATTTGTATCTTCTCACAATAAATATCTTCAATAAATTAAAAAATATGTAGTATTTATTAGGCATATCCTATCCATTATACTTCAATATATCATTCAATCAATTTATTTATTTATTTATTTATTTATTTTATTTTATTTTATTTATCTATTAAGGCACTAAATCACTATGAATAAATCATTTTAAATTTAACAAACATTGCATTTTTAACTCTTTTTATAATAAAATTTATTCTAAAATTATTTCTTATTGAATAAAACAAAATTTATTTTAAAATAAAAATATTTTTAAAAAGAAATATTCTAAAATTAGATTTCAATTAAATCCTAAAATATTTGGAAAGGAAAGTGTTGCTTTTTATTCTTATTTTTTTATTATATCGTCTGTCTGGTTAATAAGCATGGAATATTGAATAAATCAAAAATTTATTCTATCATATAATTAAACAGAGCTAAAAAAATGATTTATTATATATTTAAAAATCGGAGGCACCTTCTCTCTCTCTCTAAACGTTTATAAAATATGATAGAATTAATTATTATTTTTTTTAAAAAAACAACTATTCCAAACTTTTTGAGCAAGACAATATATCTCTACTTTCTAATTAAATGATCATGATAGATGAAATCTAAAATAAAAAAATGATTAAGTTAAATATAATAAAAATAATATTTCCTTACTTCTATTTTGAATATTAAGGCTTATTCCTATTAATTATATAGCAATTAGCTATTTTAAAAATATGAAGAGATAAAATTTTGAGATGGAAACTATTTTATTGATTAATTTCTTTCTATTCAATTAGAATTCTTTTTTGATGGTTAATATATTTTTATCTCACAAATAAATAATTTATAGATTATTTTTTCTGATAAGGTCTTAATTTAAAAAAATTTATGTTTCAAATTGTCATAATTTATATCTTTTCTAAATAGAAAGCATAAATTTTTCAAAAATAGTTTGTTTAAGCACCTCAATTAAAACTTTAAATTGAAAAAATTATTTAAATTATTGAATTTCATCAAATTATTTAATGGGTATTGAGTAAATAGATGGAATATTTGCTTTGATATATAATTAATCCTAATTAATAAAATATTATTTTATTAATTTAAAATTAAATGAATACAATAATAATAAAAAATTTAATTTTTTGTCTATATATATATAATTCAATAAGATTAAAATAAAGCTTATTTTTTACATAATTTGAATTCCATCCATCATACTTTTAACACAAAAACAATTTTATGTAAGCAATATGAAGTTTAAGTTTTCAAATATTTTTCATTTTTGAGAATATTTATAATTAAGCAAGATGAAATTTAATTATTCTTTTTTATATAGTTTGAATTTAATTGTACTTTTAACAAAAAAAAAAATTTGTTTTATGCAAATTGTATGAAAATATACATACATACACTCATAAATATTTCATTTTTGAAAACAATCGATTAATTTGTTAAAACCATAATTAATAAATGATGAGATATAATCATAAACTATTGCCCATAAATGGCTTTTTCCTAAAACCTAGTAGACTCCCCAAATATTTATACTAAAATTTGCATCAAGACATTTCCTGGCACAGAAAACTCCAATTTCATTCTTGGTAATGGATCCGCCATTAACGAAAAAAAGAAGAACATCTAATATAAGGCCATAATAAAATTTAGTGATACAAAAGCAAGATATCAGGTCGTATATTTCAACAATTACTCTAACAAACAGCTTATTAGGAACTATAATTTTCTAGCCAACTTTGATAAGTTTTGGATTTTTTATTGTCTCTTTGTTCATTACTTCTAAAAATCTCCAATTAAGTCCACAATCTTTTCCAATTTTCCATAAAGTGTCTCCTTATCTTACTTCATGTACAGATGTTAAAGATTCCATTTCTTTTTTATTTTTTTGATTTTATTATAGAGTTTTGTATAATTTAATTATGTTTCGAAATAAATGTTTTGCTGATGATTTAAATCAAATTTTTTAGATTTACTCAATTAGAATATTTAGAATTAAGACAAGTAATAGAAAAACTATTGAGATAAAAGTATTGTATAGTTTTCATCTCTTTTTTTATTTACCAATCATTTTTTAATTAATTAAATTTCATATATATTTTTGGGATATACAAAAGAAAATAGTTTTATTTTTTGCTATAATTAAATAAACTCTTTATTATATACTGGAAAATCCCAAGTATCCTCCTCGCTTCCTCTCCCTGGCTACCCTTAAAAACTCAATTTGATAAAATTAAAACTTTGATTTTATCAAAATATTTTTACCTTAATGTTTATGTTTTGAAGTAAATAAAAATTTAAAAATATTTACTTTAAAAGAAAAAACAAACTCAATCAATTAGATAATTTTTAATTGCATTTAAATTCATAAAAAAATATGAATAAGAACCAAAAAATAAAATATAAAATACTTTTCCATTTTAAAAGCAAAATAAAATTATATTAATTGTCTTTTTTAATTAGAATCTTTTATGTATAATAATAATAATAGACTTTATTCTATTAAATATAAAATCAAACTTTACTATTATCAGAAAGATAGGCTGCTATTTAAGGAATTTGTTATATTCTTATTAAAAATGGGTCAAATGAACTTGCAAACTCAGAGTATACTTGAGGAAGGTTTTGTTTCAAAAGTAGAGCTGCAGGAAACAAATATAAATCAGCAACAGTAAAGTAACCTAGCAAATAATCTTTTTTGTTCAAATATTTATGGATGTCTTTGATTTTGGGAATGATTTGCTCATTTAGTATTTGCTGCTTTTCATCTCCTTGTTTTTGAATAAACTAGCTGAATTTTGCGTATAAATCAGAAAATAAATTTCTAATATTTCCAACAATGAATTTATCTTTTTCTTAACCTAAAAGATCATTTTTTTTGAGTTTATATACCAAATAGTCAAAAATAGTCTCAGTCTCTGTCAATTTAATGTCTCCTTCAATCAGATAAGGTAAATTAGGGAATGGTAAACCAAGAATTAACTTGTCTTTTGCATACCACTCATCAGGTTTTGAGTAATTTACTACTTCATATTAAGCACCTGCTAATTCTAGTAACAATTTAATTGGTACAAGCTTTCCAGCTGAAGCCCACTAACCAATAATAATTTTAGACATTTGAGTTTTTTAATAATTTTTGATATTTTTTTAATTCAATAATAAAAAATGATATTTATTAATTTAGTTGAGTGCTTTAAATATGCACTTTGTATTTATCTATTTTATAATTTTGTGTAAGAGTTTTATCTAAATTACACTTTAATTGCTTAAATTACAATTAAAATTTTCTAATTAAAAATTCTTTATTCTTTAGAATTCTATTAAAGTTCTATGGTTTGTAAATTAGTTAGATTTAATTATCATCATAAGTAAATTACAAAATTTAAAAAAATATGTTGTTTTTATTACATGTACAGCATTGTTTTTTTATTTATTTTATAAAAATAAATTTTTTTAAATAAAAAGATATTAAGTAATAAGTAAATAAATATTCACAAAAAGGATTAATTGTAATATAATTTAATTACATAAATTATAATTCCAAAAAAAGCATAATTTATAAAAATTAAATAAAATTATAAAATTCTAATAAAATTAATATATAATTAAACAATATTTTAATATAAAAGAAGAATAATTAATTAAAAACTTTGGAGATTTTTTAAAACATTTAATAAATTAATTTTAAATAAAAATAATAGATTTAATTTTTTTTTTAATCATTTAAACGATAAAATAATACTTTAAATTTTTAAAAAAAAATAATTACAAAATATGTTTTTGAAAAATACTTAAATTTAAAATAAGAAAGCTTTAATTTAATAAATATTTTAATTAAATTCAAAACTATTTATTAAAGTACAAAAAAATAAATATGATAAGTTTTATAATTTTTAACTTATTTTGAAAGAAAATATTTTTGATAGATTTAATTTTTTTTTAATCATTTGAAAGATAAAATAATACTTTAAATTTTTTAAACAAAATGATTACAAAATAAATCTTTGAAAAATACTTAAATTTAAAATAAGAAAGCTTTAATTTAATAAATATTTTAACTAAATTCAAAACTATTTATTAAAATACAAAAAATAAATATTATAAGTTTCATAATTAATTTTTAACTTATTTTGAAAAGAAGATATTTTTGTTTATGTTTTATATTAAGTATTTTTTTAAATTATGTTTTAGAAAATTTGTTAATATCTCAATCAAGTCATTTGTTAATCTAGATTATTTAATTTAAGAGATAATAGAACAAGTTGAGCAGAACATATATTATATGTTAATACTGCTTACTGATTTGTTTTTTTCTTATATTTTTTCCATCTTCGTATATAAAAAATTATTTTATATTATTATTAAAATGTGTGATACTTTTTTAATTTATCTAAATTCAGTTTGAGTTGGATTTAAAATTTATGAAAGTATGAAGAAATACATTTATTTTTGCATATAAATTATTTGGATTAAAAAGCATAACAAATAAATTCATAATAAAAAAATAAAAATTTAATTAAGAAAAAAATAAAATCTTCAAATTATTTATTGGTGAAGAAATATTTGAAAAAATTATTTTTTTATGTCATGATAAGATGTAAAAAAAATATGTAATAGATTTTGTTTATTGTTAGAATGAATTATTTTTATGTTGTCTAAAAATTAATTACTGAATAATTTATTTTTTCAGTGCATTTTTTTAAAGAAAAAAAGATATTCATTTCTTATTATAAATTAAAACGACTACATGCACACATACATACATAATTTAATTTTGGTTAAAATCAATCTTTGATTTTCAAACTTTGATATTATTGTTATTGCATTATAATTGAGCTGGTAATAAAAATTATTTAGATTTAGAAATACTTGTGTGTGATTTTTTTTTAGAATTTGAAAAAGATTAACTATTAATAAATTAATAAATATCTAAGATTATTTTAAAAATCAAACAAATTTGATAAAGTAGTCTAAAGTAGTTAGTTAATTAATTATATATATATATATAGTAAACTTTAAGATTCAAACAAAGATTTCAATTTAATGGCGTATAAATAACCATAAATTTATTCTTGATTGTGTTAAATTATTTAAATTATTGTTATAATAGTCAAGCAGTACCTGGAAGTAGAAAGAATTTATAGTCTTAATTAGTTAATTAGGAGATCATCTTTAAAATAGATGGTGAAGTTATTGATTAAAAGGAAAAAAAAGATATCTGTAATTTATTTTAATAGCTGCTATTTCAATCTAAACATAATTTTATTTTTTCAGAATATCCTAGATAATTGAAATTTTCTACACTCAAATCTAAAGGATTTTACAACAGATCTGCCTCAGTGGATAGATTGAGATCAAGAAGTATGCTCTTTTAATTTAATTTTAAACATCCTAAAATATTATTAAAAGGTAATTTAAAATTAAGTGATGATGAATTAAATAATTCAACGAAATCAAATACGACTAAAGAGAGTCATAAGGAAAAATAAAATGAAGATAGTATTAAAAAAAGTAAATAAATAAAACAAAGTGAAAGGAGAACAAGGAAAGAAGTAGAGTTAGATTAATCAGATGATTTGAATGTTAAAAAGAGATAAATTAGTTAAAAGTAATAAATTTCTCCTCCTAATCAAAGACTTAGAAGCAGATCTTAAAAAGATGAGGAATAAGATTAAAAGCCATAAAAAAGAGGAAGAAGTATCTCTCTTCCTCAAAGAAAAAAATCAATTAAACCTGCTAAAATTGAGGTTGTTGATTAGTCAAGTGATACAGATGGACATCTTTGTGAGTGCTGTGTTATTGATTAGTTTGATCCTAACAGAATTTTAAAGAATAAACACCACGGAGCTGATGATGTTTATAGTGATTCTGTTGAATCAGATTCTTCCTGTGACTCATATTGTGCAAAAGTGCTTGCTGAAGTTGCTGCAAAAGAAGTCTATGATCCCTCTAAAATTCATATGATATTAAATACTAAGCAATTTAAAGAGGATCAGTATTACTAAAAGTAAGAGCTTATCAATTAATAAAATGAATTTCTAAGATAGTAATAAGAATATCAGTATATGTAATAGCAATAAATGCAATCTAAATAGAGAAATTCTTCAATTAATGCCAGATAGAGATAATCTCAAATGGCACAATAAACTAATCAGCAATAAGATTCAGCTAAATTTTAACAGTATCATGGTTACCAGTCTTAAACACAACCTTCATCAGCTCAAAAACAAAGTTAGCATGGAATGTCCTCAAATTAATAAATGGATAATCTTAAAGATAGTTAATAAAAATCTTAATAATAAAATTCATAAATAAAAAGCAAATAATAAAATATTTAATCAAAAACGTTCAATTAAAATATTGAAAAGCATCAAAAAAGTAAGAGTGTGCATTCATTAAAGATTTAAGAAAACTATATGTAGCAGCATCTTCCAGAGATTCTTTAATCTAGACCAGTACCTTAAATGGAACCTGCTCCTAAAGACAAATATAAAATATAAGAACTTATTGAGGAAATGATTAAATAAAATAACAGAATTTATAAAGGTAACCAAAAAAATATTTTTTATACAAAAATGAAATATTATTTTTAACGAATATTTTCAAATTCAAATTAAGGTTTTATGGAAAATATTTAGGTTTTTAAATATTTTAATTTGCTTTGAAGATTTGAATTAAATCTAATTTTTTTATTTTGCCTTTATTGATTAATATAGCAAAAGTAATTTGTTTGTATTGAAGAAATATTTTTTTGTATTTAAATAGCTGAAATGTAAAAATCTTTTCAAGATAAACTTGAGTAGAAGTAAGCTGAGATTTAAAGAAGGGAAAATTTAAAGGAGAGAATCAAATTTATTTAGAGGAAACACAGAGAATAATTTTTAAAAAAGTAATAGGAAAAGGAAATGCAGAATTATGAAGATGAAGAATAAAAAAAATTACACGAATACTAGTGGGGTTTAGATTAAAGGAAATTTAATCCAGATATGACAAAATTTACTTCTAAAGATAAGGCTAGAGTGAAGAAAGATTAAAATTTAGATGAGTATTTTAGAGAGTTTATTGATAAAGTTAGAGAAAAAATTAAAAAAAGAAAGTAGCTCCTTAAAAAGGAGACCATGAAAAGATCTTTAAGCTCTAAGAAGTTGTTTTTAGAAAAAGATAAAAAAAAGCAAGAAAAGCTTTGGAACAGTGTTGTACCCAAAGAATCTGCTAAGAAGAAAAAAAATGAAGATGAATTTGATGAGCTATTCTAATAGAAAAAATAAAAGGAGATTGAAAAATAACAACAAATTTTGCAAGAGAGAAAATAGAAGTATTCTACTAAGAACAAGAGAGATTTGTCTAATTTAGAAAAAGAAAAAGTTATTGAAGAACGAGGTAATCGAGCCTTGTCTTAAATTTAGAAAGAAAAGAAGGAAAAAGAAAATAATAAAAAGAAGATAAAAAAGATGCTCAAAGAAATTCAGTAAAAGGCTAAGAAATAATTAGAAAAAGCAAAAAAGAGAGAGTTTAATACACTTTCAGAGATGAATTTTGAATTTTCAGGATATGAAGATTCTCCTAACTAGAGTAGATAAGATGTTCAAAAGAAAAGAGTAAACAAATCTGTTTCTGATAAAGAAAACAGGTAAATTTATTCATAGAAATCTGTTGAATTAAAGCAAAAACAGAATACATAAAACAAGTCTCATTAAAGCATATAAAATACAGCATCAAAAAATAAAAAGTAAAATGAAAAACAATCTGGCTAGAAACCTTAATAAACACTGTCCTAGCAGTCTATATAATAGAAAAAGGAAAAATAACAAAAGGCTGAGCAAATTAAAGAATAAGAAATCTAAGAGCAGTATCATAAAAATGATTCTAAATCAAAGGAACGTTAAAAAATAAATGAGTATGATGAATTAGAGGAGGAGAAAGAAATAGATTAAAGCTAATATGAAAAAATATAAGAGGAAAATAGAGAGAAAGAGTAAAAAGTTAACCAACTTGTGGGAAGCATGAGTTTAAAGAATATAAAGATTAAATCTAATCTTCCTTAGCCTCATTAAAGTGAGATAAGTCAAATAGGTAATGTTACAGGTTAGACAAATACTCAAGAACTTCCTGATGATTTTGTTGAAAAAATATTTACAACAGCAGAAATGAAAGATTTGCCAAAAGAATTTATATTTTCTTAACAAAAAAAAGAATAAAAGTTAACAGGTGGAGATTTCAAGAAATTTGAAAGAGAAATTTAAAATCAAATATATAAAAAAAATGAAAAACCTATTTATCATCATGTAAACCAAGTGAAACCTCAACTAAAAAGTGAAATAAATGTTCAGAAACAAAACATACCCTTAAGTATAAAAGAAGAAAAGGCTAGGATAAATAATTTTGAAAAGAAATCTAGCAAACCTTCCCAGCATCTTTTACAAGGAGAAATAGTTTACAAAGAAAGCAAATATGAAGGAGTAAGAGAAATAAAGCACGTTCCACCAAAACCTAGATAAATATCTCAAGAAGAATATAAGAAAAAGCAGGAAGAAATGAATAAAGTCAAAATTATAGAACCTGCTATTCCTCCAATTGAGCTAAGAAGAAGAAATGAAAAGTAAAAAAGTATAAAAGAAAAGTACCTTGAAGAATATAACTCAATAATGAAAGATGAATAAAGGCTTAAAGACCAATAAATCAGAAAATAAGTAAATCTTATTTAAATACACACAAACAATAAAAAAGATATTCATTTTTTTGCAGGAAAATAATTTACTTTTAATTTTCAACAAAAAAAAACAATTGAAATAAGTAAATTTTATGAGTTTAACTTTAAAAAAATGTTCAAAGAAATAAATAATTTTGATTTACTTAAGAATTGTCTTCTTAAAATAAATTATAAAAATCTTGTCTAAATATTTTTATTGTTTAGAAGATTTCTTTTAAAAATTCCTATTAATTTTAATTTAAAATAAACAAAATAAAAAATTTTTCTTAATAAAAAATAAATGATTTTGCTTTCACAAAAAAAAATTACAAATATAAATTGAATTATATAAGTAAATATTAATTAACAATAAATGTAGTAATAATATATCTTGGCTCATGATCTAGAAGATGATATGTTTGAAATGGCTTAAAAAGCAGTTTATGATGAAATTAAGTAGAAGAAAGCCTAACAATAAAAAGAAGTTAAAAAGACATTTGGTTTTAAAGATGAAGACAGCGACTAAGAGCTTTATGCTTAAGGTGTGGATGAGTATGAAAAAGCTCGTGGATAGATACTTCCTGATGTTCTTAAAAATATTAATAAGACTAACTTTGCAAGCATAATATTTAAGTATATTCAATAATTTCATTATTTTACACATATTAATAAATATATTTTTGAAAAAGATAAAAGCAAAGCAAAAGTTCTTAAAATTAGGAGAGCGGTAAAAAATGAATTTGTTTGCTATAAATTGATAAAAGTCATTATTTTTTAACATAAAAAGCAAATTTATGTAAACAATAATTTCAAAATTACATCATAATTTTCACTTTTTTGTATCTTGTTTGTAAAATCAGTTTAAATAAAAACCTTAATTTAAATCTTGAAAAGCCTATATTTATTTGTATCTAAAATATTTAAAATTTTGCTTTTATATTTGTTATCATTAAAATATATTTTCTATTTTTTAACAATATTTATCAGCAATTTAACTTAAAAGTAAAGACTTAAGATTAAATTAGAGAATAAAAGCTTTTTAATAAAGCATTTTATGAAAATATTTTTTTAAATTTGCTTACACAATAACTAGTACTGCCTCCCTTCTCTAAGTTTCAGTAAAAACATAACTAAAATAAATTTTGAAACAAAATTATTTCATTATGCTATTTAAAGTATCTTAGTTTTAAAATAAAAAGATAGTTTTCAATGAAAAAATATATTTTGATTAATCCATTTTAAATAATTTTCTTAACTAATGTTTTAACATAAACGATATCTTAACTAATAAAATCATGATATTGTTATAGATATAACTAGCAAAAATTATATAAATTTTAATAATTTTTAAAAATTAAATAAATAGATAATAAATATTAAATAAAAAAATAATTTCAAATTTTATGTTACTTGTTAATAATTAATTTGAATAGTGAGTGATAATTAATTGATATTATGATTATTTTTATTAATTAAAAAATACATATTTATTTATATAAATCATAAGAAGTATGGAAGAAGAGATTTTGGGTTTATTTATTTTGAAGCATCTGTGACAGCATTAAATGTTTCGAATTTTTATTCTAAATTTTCATCTAATTTTAAAATAGCAGCTATGTTACCACATCTGTAGCAGTAGTTTGGAGCACTCCAAACTGTGACAAGGTTTTTATCCTATTTTTTAATACAAATTTCATTTTAATTTACTTTATTGCTTTATGACATAGAAAAAAAGTAATATGTATTACAGGGAACCAATATTAATAGCCTTGCTCTACAAGCTAGTGAGCACGAGCTATTAATTACAGGCCATTTAGGTGATTAAACTCCTTTGTAACTTAAGCTCCAAATAACCAGCCAGCACCTCTTGAATTAATAGCCCAATTCGAAATATCTTCAGGGTCACTCCACATTAAATCACAAAAAGGTCCATCATGAGGAATTTCTACCTTTCTTTCAATTATTCTAATTTAATCAATAGTCTTAATTTCTGGAGAGAGACCGCCATGTATGCATAATACTTTACCATCTACAATTGCACCTAATGGAAGATAGTCGAAGACATCTGTGCAGTACTTCCATGGGTTAGAATTACCATATTTTCTTACTACTTCATCATGGAAACCATAAACCTTTTTAATATTTGAATTTAAATGTTAATTAAATATACTCTCGCTCAATATTAATATATATTTATATATAATATCCGCATTTATAGAATATATTCATATATATTACTTGTGTAATTTATCTTGACTCGTGATTGCCTCTTAATAATGTAATATGCTAAGGATATTTAATTTTTAAACATATCAAGTATTCAAGAGTTTCTACAGAATTATAACCTCTATCCACAAAATCGCCAATGAATATGTAATTAGAATTAGGAATTTCATCTCCAACTCTAAATAATTCTAATAAATCATAAAATTATCCATGGATATCACCACAAATAATCACAGGAGATCTAACTGGTTAAACGTTTGACTCTTCAATAAGAATCTCTTTGGCTTTTTCACAAATTAATCTTAAATCTCTTTCAGGAAGACATTTACCTTCCTTCAAAGTTTATAAGTAATCATCTATATTCTTCATTTTAAACCTACTACAATTTATTTATTTACAAAAACTATTTAAGTATATTTATTAATTTAATTTAATTTTTTGTTTATTTATTTTTTGTTTTTAACAAACTCTGAAAAATATAAAGCTATCTATTTAAAGATAATTTATCCAGTCAAGCTAGAAATCAAGGATTTTATTTTTTTAAACTAAATTTTGAAAAATAGTTCAATCACAATTTAATAGAAAATCAATATCATTTACCAGAATCCATAAAAAATATAGATAGTAATATTTTAAACAAATATTTGTGCAATATTTATTACTAAAATTAAATCAATTTTAATCTAATATAATTTTTTTTAAAGACATTAATGATTAAATATTTAATAAACTAATCAATAAACAAAGAAATAAATCAAATATTTTTTATATTTTTATTTTAAAGATATTTAATGATTATATTTCAAATATAATAAAACACTCAACTAATAAAAATTAATTAATGTTTTTATCATATAAATTATCATTTTTAATTAGTGATTTTTTCTCTTTAACATTAAATAAACTGTAGACAAGATTGCTACAATAATTTAAATAATTTATAAAACAGTTTTTTTTAGATAGCAAGATTATAAATTTAGCTTTTTAATCTTATTTTTAAAATTATGCTTTTTAATAATTTTTAGAGAATAAGTTTTAAAATTTGGTTTGCTTAAGAAAATATTATATCTTAATTGAAAAAAGGATTTTAATTCTTAAATAATAAATAAACAATTTAAATAATGTGAAGTAAAATAATATTCGTTTAATTTTAAACAAAATTAAGATGCCTAAATGAAAACCACCAAAAATTGGAAAAAATATTGAATATTGTATTTGAACGCTTTTTATACTATATATTTATATATTAAATACAATTTATGAATTTTATTGAATCTTGCATTTACATACTTTTTCATAAATACTTTTATTTATTTTTTTTATTTTAAATTAAGCATAATCCAGGTATTAAAATATAATGCAATTCAGTTCATCATATTTTAATACCTGGATTAGCAATAAATAAAAAATATATTTCATAATAAGTCAGGCAAACCATGAAATTTTTGTATGGCATCTTGCTATAATTAGAGATATTACAAATATTCCTAAAATTACAGAGCTAAAACAGAAAAATCTACTTATAAACATTATTTTTATAATATTTTAGAACATTAACTACTAGATTTTTTTCAAATATGACTAAATAAATAACTGGTCATCTCTAATTCCTACTATATATATTTTTAAGTATATGTTTTAAATACAAATATTAATTTTAAATAGTGAATGTTAAATTAATTTTCTGTGATATCTCTTCATAAAACCAAATATATAAATTAATATTTGATAATTAATTATTATATTTATTTGTTCTTTTTAACCATTTATTATTAATTAATAAAATTTCATAAATTGCTATTCAATATTTTTGAAAAAAAAAATAAATGATATAATAGATTAAATATTACGAAGAATTAGAAGAAGTAATTATTAATTTTTTAATTAATATCCTTTAAATTTATATAAATTAATAAAAAAAGTTTAAAAGCTCTTCACTTTTATCTCATTAGGTTCTCCATATTAATTTGAGGTATATTTAATTAAAAAAATTACTTTTATTATTATAGAAATTATCATCATTGTTATTGATTTTTATTAAAACTAAAATTTTTTATTTTAACTTAACTTAACTTAATTTTTTTTTTTTTTTTTTTATTATTTGATATATTTTCTTCATTTTTTGCTATTAAAACTTACACTTAATAAAAGCTATTTATTTGTTTTACATTGTAATATTTTTAAATATAAAAGTTAATTTAAAACATTAAAATTCTTTTAATTTATTTGATTTGTTTTCCTTTTACTTTTTTTTATGATTTCTTATTTTTTCATTCTTTGTTAATTTTATTAATTTTTAATTAATCTTATTATTTCATACCTTTTCTTCATTTTTTCCTCCTAATTAACTAGAGTGAAATACCTATTTAATTTATATTTTAATAAAATTATAAATAAAGCTAATTTTTATTTTTAATTATAAAGCTCTTTTTTCTTTTTCTTTTTATTGTGCTTGCTTTTTTTTGTTCTTTCTTTGTTAATTTAGCTCATCATTTTATTTTCAACTTTTGCTTTTATTATTTATTTCTTATTATTTCATATTTTTTCTTCATTTTTTCCTTCTAATTTATTATTTAATGATATATTTTTTCTTCACTATTTAAAAAAGGCTTAATTCAATTGATGATGAAGGTGTATCAGGCTTAGGTTCTGCTTTAGTAAATTGCATTAATCTCTCAAATTTGACACTTTACCTTGGGTAAAAACAGTTTATTTCTTTTGGATTGTGATATTTTTAATTATAAAAACTAATTAAAAACAATAAAGCTCTTTTTTCTTTTTCTTTTTATTGTGCTTGCTTTTTTTTGTTCTTTCTTTGTTAATTTAGCTCATCATTTTATTTTCAACTTTTGCTTTTATTATTTATTTCTTATTATTTCATATTTTTTCTTCATTTTTTCCTTCTAATTTATTATTTAATGATATATTTTTTCTTCACTATTTAAAAAAGGTATAATTATATTGGTGATAGAATAGAATAGAAATACTCGCACATATAAATGCACTCAGAATACAACTTAAAATTAATTTTTATAATGTTTATATATTTATTTATTTAATTATGTAGCTATTATCGAATTATTTTAAATTCACCAATTTTTAAATAATATACAGCATATCAGTGGTATGCTTTAGCTCGTTTATTGCGTTTAACTCGTTTATATCGTTTAGCTCGTTTTTTGGAAAGTTTTTTTTAAATTGGTGCAATTGGTGCATCAGGCTTAGGTTCCTCTTTAGCAAATTGCATTAATCTCTCAAATTTGACACTTGAGCTTAGGTAAAAACAGTTTATTTGTTTTGGATTATGATATTTAAATTATAAAAGCTAATTAAAAACAATAAAGCTCTTTTTTCTTTTTGTTTTTATTGTGCTTGCTTTTTTTTGTTCTTACTTTGTTAATTTAGCTCATCATTTTATTTTCAACTTTTGATTTTATTAATTATTTCTAATTATTTCATATTTTTTCTTCATTTTTTCCTTCAAATTAACTATTTAATGAAATATTTTTTCTTCACTATTTAAAAAAGGTATAATTAAATTGGTGACGAAGGTGCATCAGGCTTAGGTTCTGCTTTAGCAAATTGCATTAATCTCTAAAATTTGACACTTGACCTTTAGTAAAAACAGTTTATTTGTTTTGGATTGTGATATTTTTAATTATAAAAACTTATTAAAAACAATAAAGCTCTTTTTTCTTTTTGTTTTTATTGTGCTTGCTTTTTTTTGTTCTTTCTTTGTTAATTTAGCTCATCATTTTATTTTCAACTTTTGCTTTTATTATTTATTTCTTATCATTTCATATTTTTTCTTACTATTTAAAAAAGGTCTAATTAAATTGGTGATAGAATAGAATAGAATACTCGCACATAAATATGCACTCAGAATACATCTTAAACAATTAGTTTTATAATAGTTATATATTAAATGTGTTTATATTTTTATTTTTTGACTTACTCAGAATAAATTGGTGATGAAGGTGCATCAGGCTTAGGTTCCTCTTTAGCAAATTGCATTAATCTCTCAAATTTGAACCTTGACCTTTAGTAAAAACAGTTTATTTGTTTTGGATAGTGATATTTTTAATTATAAAAACTAATTAAAAACAATAAAGCTCTTTTTTCTTTTTCTTTTAATTGTGCTTGCTTTTTTTTGTTCTTTCTTTGTTAATTTAGCTCATCATTTTATTTTCAACTTTTGCTTTTATTATTTATTTCTTATTATTTCATATTTTTTCTTCATTTTTTCCTTCAAATTAATTATTTAATGAAATATTTTTTCTTCACTATTTAAAAAAGGTCTAATTAAATTGGTGATGAAGGTGCATCAGGCTTAGGTTGTGCTTTAGCAAATTGCATTAATCTCTCAAATTTGACACTTGACCTTGAGTAAAAACAGTTTATTTGTTTTGGATAGTGATATTTTTAATTATAAAAACTAATTAAAAATAATAAAGCTCTTTTTTCTTTTTGTTTTTATTGTGCTTGCATTTTTTTTGTTCTTACTTTGTTAATTTAGCTCATCATTTTATTTTAAACTTTTGCTTTTATTATTTATTTCTTATTATTTCATATTTTTTCTTCATTTTTTCCTTCAAATTAACTATTTAATGATATATTTTTTCTTCACTATTTAAAAAAGGTCTAATTAAATTGGTGATGAAGGTGCATCAGGCTTAGGTTCTGCTTTAGCAAATTGCATTAATCTCTCAAATTTGACACTTTACCTTGGGTAAAAACAGTTTATTTGTTTTGGATTGTGATATTTTAAACTATAAAAATGAATATAAAACAAAAAGGCTTTTTGAATTTATTTGATAGCTTTATTTATTTTATTTTTTTATCTTTTTTATTCCACTAAAATTATTTTATTTATTAATTTAAAGAATAATTTTTAATTTAAAAGTTTATTCTATTTTGATATTTATTTTAAAATTTACACAAATTTATTATAAAATGTTTAGCTCAATGAATGAATCATAAGAACTCAAGGTAAAAAGCAAATGTCTTAAATCAAAAAGATTAGTTGTCTTTGATTTCTAATGATAAACAATTGGTGAAAAAAGGATGAATAAATATAAAATGTTTGAATAGTATTATATATTTTATTATATAATATTTTGAAAAAGTGTTTTTAACCTAAAATATAAATAGATAGATAGATTTTATTATTGATTTTATATTATTAAATATCATTCATATTTTTGTAAGTAAATAAATTATTTATAAAAAATGAAAAAATTAAATTTACTTAAATAAATCAAATCCTCATAAGCAAACTCTCTGATTTCTCCAAAAATGATCAATTAATTTGAAACTTTTAGTGAAATATTAAATCTTATTAAATTATATAAATGCCAAACTTTTATATGCC